ATCATCCGAAACGTTTTATTGATAACACGCGCAAACAGATGGGGCAAAGAAGAAGTCAGGATAATGGACCACTTAGGACAGGGCAAGTAACAATACCCTATTTGAGAGGTGTGTCTGAGTCTATTCGCAGGGCCCTCGCCCCTTTGAATATCCGCACTGCTTTCAAACCCCATCGTAAACTACGTGACCTCATTTCTAAACCTAAAGATTACACCCCCCCCCCCCCCCCCCCCCCCCCAGAGTCCCAGTGCGGTGTTGTGTATAAAGTGAATTGTCTAGACTGTCACGCATCCTACATTGGGGAGACAGGCCGGAAGCGCTGCACTCGCTTAAACGAACACAAAAGAGATGTGGCGAAGGCCACGCATGCGACAAGAGCGAAGACGGAACTCGTAGACCATTGTTGGAAAACGGGTCACTGTTTCGACTTTGAGAATGCGTCCACTCTGGCGCGCGAACAAAGGTGGGGTCCACGCAGGTTCGTGGATTCCTGATTCATCCGAAGTGACTCATCAGCTTGCAATACCAACCGCGGCCCCCTCCCCGATGTGTACGCGGACTTGCTTAAATAGGACTGTTGAAGTTTTTTCCCTCATTCCTGCTTGTAGGTTTCACTGATGATGTTTCCTGCATGGGAGACGAAACGTTTGATTAAATTGTTAATCTTGTTGAGTAAAGTCGGAGCTGTTTTTTTGATCATACTTTTTGTGGCGTAAAATTGTCTTTGCGTGTGCTTGACGTCATTGGTGACATTAAAGCAAAAAAGAGCATGTGATAATGATAAATTATCTTGTAGGAGAACATGCTGGGGGTAAAAAAAAGAAAAGAAGAAAATCACAAAAAGTTTGAAAACAGTAAAAACACGCTTCTCTGCCTGTAAAGGGTGCACCGCCACTAATTGAGCTACGTTGTTGGGAAGCAGACTTTAGAATTTGCGCAGCATTATGTTAAAAATTTAACCGCGTTTCTTTTCTTTCTTTTGCTGTCTAGGGATAGATAAGAAAAAAATTAACTAGATTGTGTTCTTATCCTATATAAGAGCTATTTCTTTAAATAAGTAAGACTACATTACATATTTTAATTGTTTACACTAAAGAAAATCATCGTAAACAAATATCTACACCAAATTAAGCTACACATTGAGCAAATGCCATGTGTCGTTCTACATTTGTTTTCTTTTAGTGTGGCCACCTCAAACTTCTGATGTTACAAATGTTTTTTACTACAAATCCTAATTTTACAACGTCCATTTAAATTTCCAGTTCCTCGGTAGCTTTCAAGCGGTATTCACAGCGAATTTAGGCACCGTCTTTATCCCAGCTTTTTATTTACAAGGAAGCCATCGACCAGGACGGCGCCGTCACGCCATCTATCGCACAACGTGCGAACCAAGCAGAACGAGCAGAGCAGGCGAACAAAATTTAGGCTGCTGTAGGGGGGGAGTGGAAGAAAGGACCGCCAACGGCTTTTATTTTTGTCCTTGAACGTCTTTTTTCAGTCAAAACATACCGACATATAGTTGTTTCCGCTTAAATGACTCAAACAATGACCTGAAGAGACGCGGAATGCTATCCGAGGTGTCGCTGAGATAGTTCTTTGCTTTGTCCAAGTCGCAGATGCAAACCCTAGTGTTTTACCTGTTTGCTCATTAAATTATTCTCAAAAAGAACAATAGCAACTGGATATATCGCGCCGATGCTCTCTAAAAGTTTGTGGGACAACCCAAGTGAGTTGTGATATATTTCTGCCGTGCTCTTAAATCGCTGTTTTCGTTTGTTAGAATTGAATTGTTTGACAGGTTTTCGTTGTGAATGTCGGCCGTTTGAGTAGCTTTATTTTTTAAACCGGATGCGTCTGTATCAATCATCATAATCTTCTTTTTTTATATTCGTGTGCCCGAAAACAACTCGAAGGTCTTCACTTTGGTGCCGGCAGGTGAGTACTACAAATAAAATGACAAACAATTAAATAGAAAAATAAACAGCAGTCAAGGATCCGAAACAGTCGAAATGCACTCACCTTGGTTTGGTGGTTTTAACTTTATAGATGAAATGATCTGAAGTAGGTAGCAATGTAAGAGCCTTTTTGAGTATAAATATATGCTTACATATTTGTGGCTTTATGAATTTAGGCAAGTGATAAAATGGCAGTAGATGCGGAATAGTTAATTGAACGAAATTGGACAAAATTTTTGTTTCACCCGTATACGTGCTATTCTTTCAATAATTCTCGCTACTTTTGAAAAAAAAAAATGTTGACTGAAATGACGCCGGTTTGCGTATCGCCTGCCATTAAACGTGGCAATGTTGTTGGTCTTATATCTTTACAGGAATAGAGCAGCACTTTGAAATTCCACAAGGTGAGATTCACAACTAATGTACATCTTCCATAAAAATTTGAGATTTCTACAAACAGACGCAAAATTTTTCAGCGGATATTCAAGCGATTCTGGGCAAGCGAGTCTGGGCCATTCCTTGGATCCTGTCATTTTCGTTCGAAAGGTATCCCAAATGCAGTGCAGAGAACTATTTCAGCTTTCAAGTTTCGAGCATAACGGTCACGTTTATGGTGATTAATATTTTTGAATGCACGGCCTGCTAACGGTACTAAAAATATAATAGAAATTTACTTACCGAATTGCGAAGTTCCAGAAAAAACAAACCAAAAAACACTTGCCTTTCCGATGTACGACCCTTCCTTTGTAGCGTAACATATCACAGAGAACAAACTTCACTACCCTTGACAAAATGAATTATAAGAGCGCACAGAATTCTGTAAGAAACAAGACTGAAGAAACTTTATTTTACAATAACTGTCGTTACCTATATACGTCTGAATTTACAGCCGAAGTATGTGAAGTTGATCTGTCGAACTTTTAACAACGTTTTTGAAGAGGAAAAAAAAAGTGTCAGGGCAGAATACAAAACATGGGGGTGCTCATTTCTTCGCTAAATTAAATATAACTTTTCATTGATAAATTTATCTTTTCACATCGCCTGTCGAGCACAAATTTTGTTTACTCAAAAGTTTGTCCAGGGAATTAAACTTCAGTAATGGTTGTGAACAAGCAAACTGTTGTTATACACATTTGACTAGTCCTAATAAGGTAATATATGCTCATATCAAAACAATATTGTAGAACATTGGTTATCCAGAATAATCTGAATCTTGCGGTGATTACCGTAGTTCATCATAAAACGAGTGAATACTTCCACGTGCTACACGAAATATGCTGTCTTTCAAGTATCAACAAACAGACACACAGAAAAACGCCGGTCAAGACGCGTTTTTCTCTCTATCTTCTTTGTACACAAACAGCCTAAAACATTTCCCGTCAAAAAACAATTGCACCGGGAACAGTCGTACTCTTGGAATAGTGTGAATTCTCATTGATACTATGGTGCATGTCGTTAAAATGAGATTGCAGAGACACACAGTAAGTATATGCAACGAGCCTGAAATATAGCGAAAGAAAGAAATGCGACCGAAACCATTTTTGTAGCTTAATAGTGTATAACACAAACACACACACATTCACACATACGTTTTGTCTCAGTCTCCAACAACTTAAAAAAAAGGCGAGGCGTGCCAATATTAGCAATGACAAAAAATCTTGATCGAGAAACCCCATTGTAGAATAAACATTCAGGGCTTTTGTCTTGTCACGTCCCGCGCCTCTAAGCTCATAGCGACAGCAGTTAAAAACGCTCGCGGGACAGTCTTTATTATTGCACGTTTAGACAAAATCATTTTATTAAATTGCAGGAATGCGCGGGGACTCGAAGACGTGCCGTTATTCACAAAACAATAATAAGAAGAGCAAGATGAATTGTTCTAAGATACGTCAAGAGCCTCAGAGTTGTAACATTCATAGATTCATACGCTTATGGTCAAGAAGAATCACTAAAACGTTTCACAGAGTAATTCATATAATGGAAATACGCAGTTTCATACTTCTGAAATATTTTATGCGGTTACGATCGCAGTTCGTTTATTCGGACACATTAAAAAACGTAGCTTTATTATTTTTTTTTTTTTTTTTTAAAGAAGATGGCGTATACTTGTGCCAAACAACAATCCCAAGTTTCTCTCGTTTTGTGTTATCCCCGTTTGAGAACCAACAATTAAAAAGTCTTCGCATTGTTATGTTCTTTAACAAACTTTAGAAATATCCTAACATTAGGCGGAACATGTTATTCAGAGTTTCACTAAGCCCCACGGGGACACCGGTGATTCTTGTTGTTTCTCGCGTTATTTGAGCCCATAGTGAGTTTAAATGGATTGTATGCTACCACTCGTAACAGGTGTGCTCTTTGAGACTTTTACGAACATAGGAAACACCAGTGTGTTTCGTTCATTTAGCACGTGACCCAAGCCTAGCAACGACCGACAAAAATAGTGATAGCTGTAACTCGTCCTAGATATTGGAAGAAAAAATTCCGCAGAAGTAGCTAAATGCTATCAAAAACAGCAACAAAAAAAAACACACAAAAAAACAAGTGCAAAAACAATTGAATATAATGATTGCAGTTGAAGCATACGCATGTACAGAATACTTTTACACTCTCAAAATGTGAAGGGTGCATCCAAGTCTCAAAAGTTGTGCAAATATTTTCTCGTCAAAGTTGTTAATAAACAGCAACTTCACGCGGAAAAAAAAATGACGGTGTCATCACTCGGGAATAAAGCGAAAACAAATATTTTCGAAAGGACAATAAAATAACGGAGTTCCACAGATTTTTCCAACACGTTCAGTACAAGCCCCGCACCAAGTGCAGGGCACCAAATACCTTCACGAGTCCTGTCAGCCAGTCAGTCCCATGGCAAAACAGCATTCGATGTAGCACCTTGCGAAGCCCCCTTCGACGCTGTCGTGGCAAAGAAACACACAACATGACGAGTTTCTCGTTGTTTCCTTTCTTTTTCTTTCTTTCGGTAATAATGCTTCTTGGTTCTGTGCTGGGCGTTGATCGGTAGTTGCGGTTATAACAGCGGACGATGACACAGCCTTGACGTCACGCTTTCGTGGGTGACTGCAGGCGACCGGTGAAGCCGAGGTCAAACTTGCGTGTGGGTGTTTTCACCAAGAGGATCAGCGAGGTGATCCACCGTCAGTGCGTTTGATGGGGGACTGTACAGCTGCTGCAGGTCAAAAACAGATACAGTCAACGGTCACTCTGAAACTGATCAATAGCTTCCTTTTTTATAAGCTATTTCATGAGACTTTGAGGTAGTTATAGGGACGGGCAGCTTAAAGAGATTGTCCGGTCAAACTTTGTCTTTCAGAAAACAATTAAATTGTATTGTCATTGCTTTAAGGAATATCATCCGCACAATGTCCGAACTTTTAATCATCCACAACAAAAGTAATTCAATTTTAAAAAGTGCCCAAATGGTCACATTTCACCTGCAATACACACAGCGTTTCCGATCGCAACAACGGAAGCTCTGACGTAGCATCAGCCAAAGAAAGCCCCCTCAGCGTTTAACTGCTGTCTCTATAGAATAACTTATTTCCAAGAAAGACAAAGTTACGTTATTGAGGGATGCTCAATTTTTCGACGATAATCTTTGCTCGCACGATCAACCATGTTGATCAAAACCCGGAATAAGTGAACACCCGCGACTCTGACGTTACCACGCCTGGTGTGACGTCACGACACGACCAGTCATGCATACTTGCGTAATTTGGCGTAAAGTTTCGTATTGATGTTCATAATTGATTTAACGAATATTTAGGCGTCTTTCAATGAAATAAATATTACATATGATTATATTTAGGCCCTGTCTATGTGACCAGCAAAACAACAAACAACTTAGAAACTTCCATATATCACCGGACAATCCCTTTAAGAAACAGAGTGCGTGGCTTATCGCGTTTATGTCTCTGGCTTTGTGATTTGCTCTTTTAGTGCTCTTATTGTCTAATGTTGCCCAACAGGCCTCCTGCATTCCTGAGGAGGCGCTGCAAAAATGGACTTGTTAAGACTTGTTTTGGAAAGTACCATAGCCTCCTCTATAATCTCAAAGCCTGGCAGTTCGACGCCGTAGCCATAGAGTGCTCGGTCGCAGATTTGGAGCGCGAGGATCTGGTAGCAAAGAGCATCAAACAGCCATATCTCGTCAAACCTGGACGTCAGCGCACAGCTTTTGCAGTGGCGAGGACCCGAAACACACTTGTTCGCTCGGGAGAAGTGTGTTTCGGCGTCCCGCCACAGCGGGGCGCCAGTGACATGGCTCTTCTCTCATCTGTTGTCTGCCGCTTCCAATTTTCTTTCCGGCTGCCACTTCTCGTGGTGATCTGCCAGGAGTTGTCAGTATATAGGAGGCTATGGTAGTACAAAGTTTAGAATCTCAAGCTGTCTCACGTCTAGAAGCGTGCATGCATGCTCTTGGTGCGGAATGCAATCACAGGAAATACAAAGAAATAACAAAAACTCGAACACCGTCGAAGCACCGATTTAGAACTAGGATGCTAAAAGCCTTAGCCAAGAGATGCCGTTTCACAGTTTCACGTGTAAAAAAAATAAAAAAAAGAAGCGTTTTAACGCCGCCACCCAGAGATAAGGAACGTGTACCCTAGCGGTGGTGGCATGGATCTAGCAGTTTCGATTGTCTTCCGGCGTTGAATCTATATTCAATTTTGGACGTCGAATTATGTTTCTTCGTTCTTCAGCATTACACAGAAAGAAGAAATCTCCGCGAAGGCGCCACAAGTAGTGCAAGACCCAATGAAGTGAGCTTGTACTACTAAAAATAAGGGCGGCATAGTTTGTTCAGAATTTCCCCGCAGGACGCCTATCTTGTTGGGTGAGGAGTGATACGTTAGAGTTCGGAACTCAATACGACGTCCGGCGTTTGCTAAGCTGTCTGTGGTGATGGGGCTGACCAAACTTCTTTTGCCAATATATTGTCCTGCGAAAATTAAAATGAAACTCATGGGTTGTTGCCCCCAAAAAAAGGTAACGTCCCAGTTAGCCACAAATTCCCAATAACAGGAATGAAGGGCAAAAAAGATGACGAAAACTTGTTCCTTTTTTGTTCCTGTAACTCGTCGAGACTTAATAACACTTAGGCAAATGTCATCTGAGAACTCATAAATGTTATACGGAAAGACTGGATTGGACTGAGTTGATTCGGGGAGTTGCTCGAATGCAATTTGAACTGCCTTCCGACCATACTTTTGGTTCTTTAGCGACGCACCAGTTACCACTCCAAGTATTCGATGTCACTGCCTCTTGAGTTCTTCATACCAGATTCAATTTTCTTGGTGTTTTGTATTATATTTCATAACGTACAATAAAAGGCAAAGCTCGGCTAATTTCTATATTTCTTACGCTTGTTCGGAGCTATCAGAACGGTGCATTTGGTGAGCGCGTTGTTCAGTTCCACTCCCCAATGGCGTCTCTTCGTTATGCTTGGAAAACTTAGCACCAGCCCCATAATCCTCCCAACTTGGATACCACCCCCAATTGTTTCAGGTATGTGCAAAGAGATGTTCTTATTGTAAAAAACAAGTGCAAAACTCTACCTGAAGGAAATGTCGGACCTTTACTTTAATCTGCTGGGACACAACCTTATGTCGTAGTTAATTTTTTTTTTATAAAAGACGCCGAATTGTTTAGTGAGCAGACGACCTTTAGGGAAGACATAGCACTTGACACAAATGTTATAAGCCTCTGATGTAGCGCAGGAGAAATCAGTGTTTTTTTCTTAGAATAAACAAGAACGACTGCATTTTATTTTGATGGTTACGCTTTGAATGGCGTTCTTGGTCTTTGTCACTGAGGCTCAGCAGGATGTTGGCTCGTGACATCGCCAGGTGCAGAGAATCTGTCCGACATATTCTCTTGTTAAGAACTTGTACATAAAACGCAAAATGTTAACATACCCCACAGGAAACTTGTATTGCCCCTCATGCAAGATTTCGGGCGTCGTATGTTTAAATAATTATGCATTGCTACCTTTAGTTTTAAGTTAAGGATGTGTGGCAAAGGTGCCACTTGGTGCAGAGGCAAATTGGGACTGAAATTGCCAAGAGGATACTCAAAAAGAAAATTGAAGCACGAGAAATATTTCTAAAGTACGGCATGGGAATATAGTCAGATTAAATAAATTAAGTGACAGTGGCTACGTCCTGTATTTAGTTAATGCTGTAATAACTTTACCTTCGGCAAACATAGGTTTTAATGTAAATTTAATATAAACTTGTCTTACATTTGGCGCTTTCAAATGAAAGTAATAACTTATGCAGCAGACAAGTATGAGCGAATTAACGTCTGATGCGTAGGTATGGAAACGTTCTTTTTGTTAACACCTTTTTGCGCAATTATATTCATGGGTCTTCAGCTAGATCTTCAGATGTTGCTAGTGTTTATTGCAGCTCGGAAGGGCGTTAAAGTTGATCTGAGGTTTCTTTACGTGGAATATGAGAGATTGTGCCTTACCGGGATGCAGTGGGTGCCAGGGCGGGACAACGGACAACACACACATTTGTGACAAGACAGGTTTGCAGGAACGCAAAAAAATAAGGATCAAGTACCCAACTAGAGAGAGCCTTGCCGTACCCTTCCACGATCGCCATTTTGAGTTCCTGTGATGGACATGCGTACTTTGGCCTTCATAGCCTCGTACATTGTCATCTGAAAGAGAAATCGAACGTAAGAGCGCTATTTGAGGGACGCGAGGACAACGACTGTTTTTAATGGCATCGCGGGAAAGATTCCTGTGTACTTTATTCTGCAATCACCGAGCGTCACAATTTAAAAAAAAAAATGCCAGTAAAAGAAAAGAAAATAAGTTATGGCGGGATAGAAAATTAGTGCAGAAATTTCAGTATAAGTCACTCTCTTACCTGCGAAATTGTCGTCGCTAGCGATAAGACCCTTTCTTGTTATGCTTCGCGCTAGTGAAACTATAGCAATTAATCTCAATCCAAATTTATTTCCTTTTTGTTTTTGATAGGCTTCTACAGGAGTCTTCCAAGGGCTTCTGTAAGCTGTTTAACGAAATAGTGTCCAAAATATTCGTACGAAAGCTACGCATCGCCGCCCCCTCCCCCTCTAAGAAATAATACTGTTACTGTGACTGCCAGATACAATTAAAGAACAATTTCAATTAAAGATGAAGATTTTTTACTTATTTACAAGTAATTGACTATTTTGAAAAATAAAATGAAGGGATTGTTTAGTGATAGCTGGGCAGTGCATCATGAAAACCCAGTAGGTCAGTCAACATTCATAAAGGTTCAAGGTGCCTGCAAACTTCTACGTAGTTCAAGACAAACGGCGGCTGCACGCACTTTTGATGTGTTAATCAGCCTGCGTTTTCCAGCCAGTGGCCTTGTACTGCGTGGTCAAAGCGGTGCTGAGAAACCTTTAAACGCTTTGCCATCGTATACTTTACGTTGCGTTTTATTTCACATTCGCAAGCCGCTTCACTCAAAAAGCTAGTCTGGTCACAATGGGGGAAAAGAGTTTGTTGGAGCACCTTTTTTTGCAACCCTGCTTAGGTCGTAGCAAGACTCTGATGGTCTAGAAGGGAAGGTATGATATTTGCCCGGGCGAAAGGGGTACTTCAAATCCAGCCTAGACAGCGGAGGGTGACGATGATGATGATTGTGATAGTTCTGCTGCTTTTTACTTTGTTTGATTTGCAGCGGACGAGCTCGAGGAACTCCCATTTCCTAACCAAATTTAAAGACAGAATGTTAAAAAAGAGTGTATTGCCTGTGCGTGCAGTTGCGCCAACTTTTTTGAGTTTCCAGGGTGTCTTCAAACAATGACAGTTATTTTGTATGTAATAACTAATGCTGATTTTTTGTATATCACACGATTTATTTTTGCTTGCATAAAAGCGGAACATTAAGACTAAATTGATATGGTTAAAAGAACAGAGTGTATTTACCACTAAGCTCAAGCTTAGCGATAGATACACTGTGTTTCTGTTTTTGAAGCTTCATTTAATACTGCTGAACGTTCCTACAGTTCAAATATTTAAAACAAATTCGAGCAGCCTTTTTTGTTTTCATGTATTTCCGGGAATCAGAGTGATTCGGCATTCCACGAGAAATGGTAAGCACAAATAAATTTAATCAAAAGGTTTACGATGGTTACCCATTCCAATCTGCTGATTTAATTCAACGTCATAGTCGTGTTTATTCTGCCCAAGATTTCACACAATTTTACAGTAGTGTTCGAGTGTTTTACTACGTGTGACTTGATTTTACCCCTCTGGCCGATTTCTCAACAAGTGTCCCTGATGATATCATTTCGCGAATGATTGTGCATTGATGATGGCGCACGTATTTTTTCTAACGCGTGGCTGCTTTGAAGATTTAAAGCGTGTTTCGAACATTTTCTGAGTTTTTACCATAAGGTGGTCTTGAACCAGTTGTATTCTTATTTATAACCATTTTCATCTAAAGAAAAAAGTAAGTTTTGCGCATTGTTCACACGCGGTGCGAGGTAGTTTTTACGTGATTGTGTTGTCAGAGGAAAAAGCAATGCTTTTGGCGTTTCCAACGTGTACGTCTTGATAAGATAACATTTCTTTAATCTAACATTCACCTACATATATCTTAATTATCCACATAAAGGGGGAAATTAGTGAGGCTCCTTGAGGAGCCGGACTTTTTTTATTATGGCTCTTGAGGTGAAAACTGGTATAGGTCATGTTAAGTGTTTTTTTTTTTATTGCTCCTACTGGACTACAATACAAGAATTAGTAAACACTACTTTAGTGATGTGAAGCCACTGCAGTGCAATCAAGAACTATAAAAACTCTGAGGGAAAAATAGATACAAAAATAGAAGTTATATGAAACTAAACGTAACTAAAACCTGGTCGTGGATTCTGAAAAAAGGAGAGAAGAACCGCGCTCTGCATTTTTGCATTTGTTTTTATTATGTCCTTTTAAAGTCACCGGCTGCCCAATCTGATTGATCGCTCCGCAACCAATAAGATTGCGGTATTAGTCTATAAATATGTTGAAGAACCAATCACGGAGCAGGAGGCGTGCACGAATTAAGACATGCCCTGCGATTTTCTTATGCTGTCAATGACTACTGTTTAAAGAAACATTACCTCTACGTTTATAGCTTTAGAAAAAAAACATTTCCTTACTCCTACGTTTATCTGCTTGAAATATAAACTTTTTTTTAGGATAATAAGAACGGGAGTAGAAGACAGAGATAAAAAGGAGGAGATCTAGAAGTAGTGGCGTGGTGCGTGAAACGCGTCTCCGATTAGAGTGTATAGTGCGTCCAAAAAAGTGGTCCCTCAATTTCTATCCGATTACGGCATAGAAGTGTCACGCTGTCACCGGTCGCGATCCTGGCGGCATCCCAGCAGCGGTGGTGGGCGTGGCAGACGCCTGTTCTGCTGCAGGTCGCTCTCCAGCTTTGCAGACTGTGGAAGCTCCGGCAACCAGGAGTTGGGACGACGCGACGGCAGCGACACTCGCGTTAGGCTCGTGCTTTTCGCCAGCATTTTTACGACCAACCGCCAGGATCGCGACATCCGACAACGTGGCACTTTGGCTTTTGTAACGTCATTGGTTACCACTTCGGGAACACTTTTGATGTATTGGAGGAATAGGAGACGTCAAACGCACCGGCCGGAGACGCGTTTGAGGCACCGTAGTAGAGGGCAAAAGTGTTTGTTACGACATAATGTACCTTTGAACGCGCCGCTTCCATGCGAGACTTGTAGCAGAATTCTAGCAGGGCAACGACCATCGCCAGCACTAGGCCGCCTATTAGGATGTAGAAGCAGCCAGCCACGTTGCTGAGTGTCAACTCGTTCTGGGTGGATTCCTGCAACGGGAGAGAGAGGGGGAGCGAATATTAGAACTTGGCTGAAATAATGGAAACAACTGATCGAATTGTTCTATTGTCCACACAAAGAAACCAGCAGCACTGCAGTTTTGCCGAGCCGGCCATATTTTTTTTTACATGCTACAATTGGTCAGAGAGCAACATTGATGCGTTTGGAATAAATTAAATTAATTTCATTCATTCAGTTATTCATTTATTGATTCATTCATTATTATTTTTAGTGCTCATAAACAGCGGATGCCTGGGTAATAACATGCAAACGGTGAAATATAAATTAGTCAGACATAGCTTATTGGCTAAATAAATTTTAAAAATCTGAGTTGAAAACATTAACTGCTGCACCGATGCGAGTGATAGGGCTAGTTAGAATGAATTGATTAACAAATAAATGGTTCACATATGCTTGCTGCTTTAAACTACGTACTCTATAAATACGTTTGTGAGTTCGCTTTCCTGTCGGTGATGGAGAGGAAGAGTCCCAGATTACACTAAAAAAAAAGGATGTAGTCCGCGGACGGTTTTGTCTAACAATAGTTTAACGGTCAGCCATGGGACGTGCGCACTTGTCCGGATGTGGGTGCGGGGGAGGACGTATATAAAAGATCGTTTCGATAAGAGTTGCTAGCTGAGTTTAAGATGTGTGTCCGGTGCCCATTCTTTACTTCGTCTTCGACCTTAACGATGTGTAGTAGTCTCACACTCATTTGTCTCATCATAATGCACCCCAAAACTTTAGTTCTACGTAGAGCGCACTGCCATCGAACTAACGGCCACAAGTTTTACGAAGGGCTTGACAACGGTGCGATAGAAGATATTAAACAGGTAAAATACGTATCAAAAGCTAAAAAAGACAAAACGAAAAACACTAATGTTTTGCAGTAGGGCCAAGAAAACCCCGATTAATTTTTTTGTAGACAGGAACAGGTTCATTCACTATTTTAATAAGATGTACCACTCGGCTACCAAGCCCTTCGTGAACATTGGTAGCTTCGGATTGACGTCAGCGCGCTGTAAGTCGAACTGAAGTTTTAAGGTATGTTTTACGAGGCCAGGGGGTGTAAGCACTACATACCCTATTTTCGAGAGTGTATGGCGAATACGAGCATACGTTTAGGTCACGAAATCACAGTGTTGTACGGAGTGGCGTTCCTAGGAACGACGTTCCCAGAACGCATTCGTTTCAGTGTGAACGGAGAAATGCCACCGTTGCAGTTTGCATTGCTGGAAGTGGAATGTGATTTCGTTACGTTTTTGTACGAAACGACAGGAGAAACAGTGTTCCATTTTTTTTTTGTAAGTTAATTTGAATTTTGAAGGCATTTAGGCTTTGTATTATCGACTATTTTCCCCTCTAACTTCAATTGATGGGGAGGTGTCCAAAGGATAGTCGAAAACAGGGAACTTAATAGGAAAAAGAAAGTGATTGTGGCGACGCGACAGTTAGTTTGATCTGAATATTTTCACCATCTTGCTTAATTTTATCTACGAATTATTCGGCACGTGTACTATTTCATTAGAATAGGCCAATATGACGTTAATGTAACGAAAAGTTATAATTTTAAAAATTTAAAGGGAACGCGTTCCTTTCGACCCACTGGAACCTGTTACGGGAACTCGGTCCAGGATTGAGAAAGAACGAGGAATGAGTTTCCGTTCTTGTTTTGAAGGAACGGGTTGTAACACTGAAAAGATGTTCTGTGCTCAGGAACGGTGGCCCAGTAAAACGTCATTCTAATCGTCCCCATTTACATCAATGTTTTTGTTTTCTAATTACAATTTGAGCATCGTCCTTCGCTGGCAATCCTCTATTGTTTGTTGTGGTCGGCTGCAAAGCGAAATCCCGCAGAATTGGAGTGCAGGCTCCCGGTCTTTTTTTTTTTTTACCTTTTACCCGACTATAAACGTCTAAAAAACAACGCACTATTTTTGCTCTGTGTTTTTGTCATAAAATCTAAAAGCGCTAACAAAGACGAGGACAAAAATGAAGGCGAACAGGACGAGCGCTTACTCTCAACTGAACATTCATTTAAAAACAGCTAAAGCAAACAACGTCCGACAAAAATACACTGAATCACTCAGAGGCGTCAGTGTATTTTTGTCGGAGGTTGTTTGCTTCAGCTGTTTTTAAATAAATGTTCAGTTTAAAGTAAATGCTCGTCCTGTTCGCCTTCCTTTTTGTCCTCGTCTTTGTTAGCGCTTTTAAATTTTATATCATGAACCAACTCGCCCGCTTCGCCACTTTAGTACAGTGTTTTTGTCTTTCGCGGGAGTGATGTGTCGTGAGGATCTTTCGCTCGCCATAGGCTGACAGTGGTCCTGGTAACGGAACATGCTCCTCCTTCGCCGGAAATGACCTCGGTGTGTTGAATGTTTTTTTTTAATAAAGAAATTGGCCGCGTAACGTACTGTTTTACATAGAACAGGACCTTCATCATGAATAAGGTCTCTTAAAATGCTGATGCTCCAGGCAAGGTACCCACGGTGGAGAATAGCTTCGCTAGATGTTGCTAGTGTACTCCTACCTAAAATAAAGCTTACCTCGCGCCTCCAGGTCTGTTGTGTGTCAGTAAAAATGTTAACCCGATTCTGGCATTGGGCCGGTACCTATCTAAAACGAATGGTACGCTCTACGAACTAAGCTGACCAGGAGCTATTCGTCAGTAGAGCAAACGGATGTCAACACTTGCCATTAATCTGAGTTGTACACACCACAAGGGTGAATATCTGGTGTTGAATGGTTAGGACGTTAACTACTTAGGGAACGTTCTCAGGGGGAAGAAGGGTTGCGCAAGACATAAATGAATTCTACCTGAGACGAAGTAAAACTCTGACTGCAAACACTCCTGCGTAAAAATCAGAATAACTTAATTTGCCTTATGTACGCGGATGATGGTAATGGTAAGGGGGGGGGGGGGGGGGGGGCAGGACGGCTGAGTATCCAAAACATCTCACGATCTGCCCTTTTTGTATTCGCCTACCAAATTACAAGATTTGGTAGACGCAGAGACATATGATGCAATTATGAGTAGTCCTCGTATATTACACCATCTGTCGCAAGACGTCACTTCTACACATACACAAATATTCACGCTCGGATGAAATATAAATTTCGAAATACGGTGCTCTCCATTTGATAAAAATGAGCCGTTCCTCTATAGTATTTTCAGTAGAACCGCTCAATTTAACTTGTGAAGCGCCTTAAGAATGAGAACCCGAGGAAGACGAGACAGGACCAAGCGCTAACTTACATATGAACGTTTATTGAAAAACACTTACTATTTATACACAAATTCAGGTTCCCGACACCAAAAAGGAAAACTCTCTCTCAGTTGAGTGGACTGACGGTGCACCCACGCAGCTATCCTCGCCCTTTACTATAATGCAGTAGGCTTCAAACAATTCTCTCTCAGTTTTGTGTTTTTAGTTTTCCAACTATTTTTGTTTTGTCCAGATGAGGCGCCGCACGGACACCCATCACAGTGAATTGCTAGATTACCCGATGGGGAACTTCGAACAGATAAGACGTGCTCGCGTCCCCTATCGTTGATGCACATCCCCGTTTGCCCTAGATACGCTTTTCCGCAAGTCACGGGTATTTCGTAAACAACTGACGCCGCGTATATCGGGCAAATGGGGAGGTGCATCAACGATAGGGCACGCGAGCACGCCTTATCTCTTAGAAGTTCCCCGTCGGGTAATCTAGCATTTCATTGTGATAAGTGTCCGTGCGCGCCTAATTTCGGCAAAACAAAAATAGTTTGAAAACTAAATAACAAAACCGGGAGAGAATTTGTTTTGAACCTACTGCATTCGAGTAAAGGGCGAGGATAGCTGCGTGAGTGCACCGTCAGCCCACTTAACTGAGAAAGAGTTTTCCCTTTTTGTGTCGGGAGTCTGAATTTGTGTACAAATAGTAAGTGTGTTTCAATAAACGTTCAGTTTTAAGTTGGCGCTGGGTCCTGCATCGTCTTGCTCGTGTCCTCGTTCTTTAGGCGCTTCACAGGTTAAACATGTACCGACTAGCCTACCTATACCTTTTACGCTCAGTTTAATAATTGTCAAAAGAAGTATGCATTAAAACTCAAAGCAACAATTGACACTTCTCCGGATGAAAATTGAGACCAAATGTAATGCCAATAGGTACAACCAAGCAGAAGCAGAGTAGAACTGAAGAAACCAAACAAAACTGCTACCTCATACTCATATGGGTCACCACCGAATTCCATGTACATGCGGCTATCACTGTCCAAGGCAACGTGGTGCTTTCCGGTTTGAATCGTGTTGGCAGGCTTGATCCGCCGCCGCCGCTGTTGAGAAATCCGCACCGGTACATTTGTGCATGAAAAGTCACTATTTTCAAGAATGATTTTTTAATGTCATATTTTATATAAATTTCTATTTCTGTGCGATACTGAGACAATCGGTTTATTGGATAGAAAGACGTTAAACAAAACAAAACTCTCTTTGGGGTAAGAAATTATTTTTCGCTATTTTTGACGTCCTAAGAATGATGTATGCGATACATAGTTTGCTTCAAGATTTCGTCGATGTTGTTTACAATGTTCTACAAGGTCTCCAAACGACACGAATGTCGAACTTAAAGAACGTAATGTATTTTACCTTGTTAAATGTCTCGTACTAGCAAAGTTTACTTTAAGTTCTTTTAAAATTGTCTATGAAAAACAACAAAAATATATATTGATAAGAAATTATTTTTCCACTTAAAGGGGCACTGCAATGAAAAAAAAATCTTCTTTTAAAGGGACACGTATAATAATAAATAAAATAGACCACAAAAAATGCGAGCAATATTTACGCCGTTAGATGCAATTTAGGTGCAGAAAGCGCACGTCGCAGACCGCTAAGCCTTGCCCCGTCTTTACAAGGTGCTTACATCTCTCACTGGCTGGATAAGCGATATACTTGAGAGAGGTTGGTTGTAAATTTGCATCTCTGTGCAGTAATATTACTTTATTAGACTAAATTTTATATTTGAGAAACAAATATTCTAGATGGAGCCATTATTGTTTTCAACCATGTCCCGACATTGCTTTTCCGTTTCTGTTTCAAACGACAACAGATATGACTGTCGGCGTTTGCTGTGCGCTCAACGAGCGTATCTCGTTAACCTGCTTTTTTTTATATGAGTGCAAGTCCTTCCGTGTTTACTGAGGTGTTTAGGGGAAGACCTCAACCGACCTAGTTTTCAACAAACAACTGTCGCAAGGGCACGTCTTTGGAAGCGCTCTGCGGGTGCATGTTTTCGTAGCTGGATTGTCCTAAGTTTAGCGTCCTACGTCGACTATGCAGCTCGATCCCGCTTGATTTGTTCGTTTGTTCGTGTTTAATCCGAATAAAATATCGGTTTTCGTATAAAAGGAACCTTTGTTCTCTGAACTGTGCAACCGCCATGATTGCAACCATGGTTTCAATGCCGAAAAGATAGCTACACAGGTGAGAATTCGCGAGCCCTTTTGGGCGGAAAAAGTAGGACGTTCGGCTCGCATCAAGTTAGTTCAGGTATGTTCCCGTCATTTCGCTTCAGAAGGCAAGCAGCTCTCAAGTTTTGCAGTGCACCTGGCCTAACAAAGAGAATATTTTTACGTCGCGTTTGAAGTCTGCGCCATAACCCTCACTGATCTCGCTCGCAGATACTATGTGAAAAAACAAAAACAAGAACAGTAAAGCTAGAAAGACTGGATATTTATTTTGTTGATCGTTTAGTTCTCTCGGTCGCTTATTACCGCACATCGACCGACGCTGACAGTCGCTTGTATTGGACCACAGCTCGTGCTTGATGGAACGCTAGAACGCCGCTTTCATGAACGCGTCTACTGAGCGTTGCAGAGGTTTTTTAGACGTGGTCTGGAAAGCAGACGAACGAGGGCGAAAACGGACGTCGACGCGTAGCGTTCGCGCCCGCGTCTCATGGGCATTGCAGACGACGATAGACGGCGTTAAAAAAATAGCAGACAATTCCGGAGGCTGCCGTGCGTCTGCTCGCACCACTAGCAGGCAGTGTCAGACGCTATGCTTTAAACGCACCGAATGTCGCGAGAGGGAGACACTAGGCTTGCGAGCGTGTTCGGTCGAGCAGCCAGGCCTGTCCAGTAGTAATGGGCAGGGCGACTGATTTGCGGGCGGAACTTAGAGCGGGTCATGACCTACACCTAAATTACGCATAACAGCGTCAATATTGCGCGAAAATGTATTTTGCGTGGCAAAACTATTAAAAAAAAGTGTCCCAAATAAGCAATGATTTTCGTTTTTCAGTGCCCTTTAGAGACAAATCTATCTGTGCGTCTGTAGGCACATATAGATGAAATTGCAAGACAATCGCAGCCATGTACAAATTATACTTCGCAAAACACGAATCTTGAACAATAATCTGAAACAGGTAATTGCAGTTTCAGAAAAACTTCGCTCCGCAATATATTCTAAATCGCTTGAACAAGATTTTTTTTTCTGCAACTACGGAAAAGAATGCAAGATTGCAGTACAGTGTGAATAAATATAATGACTTGTGAAACGAATAAGTCAGAACTACGTTTGCGCTATTCCTTACTTTGCTGTCTCCGCTTCTGCATTCGCTGCGGTCGTACCACCACTTGTTTTCCAGTCGAGCAAGGTCACCGTTCTCCTTCATAGAAAGAACGGCCAAGTTCAGCCGATCCCTGTACGAAGAGAAATAAATTTTAGGGTACGCTTACATCGTCTAGCTTAGACAAAGGTATTAACAAAAGCGTTTCCAAAAAAAAAAAAAAAAAACATGAAAAAAAAAACACGTCAATTTTGAACTTTTTCACATCAAAAATGCTCTGGCAACATGCATGGGTCGCCCTGCTGCTGAAATGCAAAGTGCGTTGCTTCAATTTCTGCAAATAATGCGATATGCGCTAAAGATACTAAAAAGGTTGAAGATTCAATTTGGGTGAGTCTCACGTGGTCTGGAATAAAATTCGAATACATATTTTGCCTCCTTATGATTCGGCAGCACGAAACTAAAATTAAACTCGACATTCCATAATAAAAAAATGTAGTTACTAAAGACGACCGATTTTTCTAAAACTTTTCCTATGTCTACGTTATCAGTGAGCCGAATACTAAACGATCTGCACAAAATGTTGCTTCTCAGTATTTCCACGCTTGACATTAAATACCAGCGAAGACCAATTACAAATCTTTAAAGCAGGTTAAACACATGAGTTGAGACACGTGTCGTTCAAACACTGAGAGCTTAAAAAGCGCAGAGCATGGCTTATTCCAGTTGGGGATTATTGCTTTGTGATTCGTTCATCGGCGTTCTTATTGGCCAACTTTGCTATTTCATTGGCTGACGAAAAATGCCGAGTCACTGGAATGTGAACGCATGCTCGGCATCTTATATTTTTGGAAAGGTCTACTAGCGCCGAGATATTTCGGTGGCACCCACTTAAGTTTTCCGTTCCGGACATTCACAACCGGGAGTTGCCTCGCCAGAATTAACGGGATTTATATTTGCCTCGCCGTGATTGGCAGGATTTGCCTCGCCGCGAACCGGCGATACGGCATGGCCTTGTCGGTATACAGGAACCTATAGGGTTTGGCCAATGGCGAACTTTGACCTCAGTAACGCTTTCTGGTCGCGCACGTCGTAAATAGCTGAATCCGAACTTTGCCAAATTTGAAAAACAGTCCCGTGGTGATTACTATTATCGCTTTTCAATAAAACGAATGATTCTATTTCGTTTTTGTTTTACCTTGGTTGTGACCGAGTGGCACACTTTTCTCTACCAAGACCTAGACGCGACAATGATCTCACTTGCACATACGATTCCCCTGAAGCATATACATTAATTTCCATAAAACTATAGTCACTGAATAATTATAAATGACAGATTAGAACTGATTCAGTTCACCGCAACAAAACCCCAGTATCTCTGAAAAAAAAAAAAAAAAACTCAGTTGATAATGTTGCAGTACTTCCTGATAAGATGATTCAGAAATTTATATCAATAAAACAACCAATGCTGCCGCAACTAGCTACGATGTCACGTCGCTCCCGAGGTACTAATAACTGCCGAAGCCTGCTATACATTAAGATTTCTTTTTCAAGTGCCACCCCCACGAATGGTTGTCTGAGAAAACACTGAGCGACGTCCAGGCAGAACCCCACTGACGTCTCAGTGAAGGCTTAAGGGACCTTTCAGCGACGTCACAGGCAAGGACAAATCTACGCCTCGCAGATCCTTTTAGAAAACACCACCCACAATACCTGAACCCACGCACTTTAATTTCGACGTCATTGCAGTTGGATCCGAGCGCAATGATTGGACGCGATCTCTATGTCAGTGTTCGGCTGGACCTCGTGTCCAATCAAACGCGTCGAAGGACGCTCGGCGTCGAGCTCGGGCCCAATTGCCGAGGTGGCGCCATCCGATTGTGATGATGTCACGTGTTGGAAGAGAAAGCTGCTGCTCGCAGGCTTTGATTAATGCATAGTCACATACACCGCTTTAAAACAAAATTAGGGCAGAACCAAATGCGTTGCTGTGTAATAAAACGATTAGCGGCAAGCATGATTGAAAGAGCCGGGACAGGTCACCTGTCAATTTTCCCGCTAACGTTAGCGGGTAAACTGTATTTGTGTCTAGGTCCCGTTACATCAAACCGTGTGATGTCATTTATCCCGCTAAATTTATCGGGAAACCTTAATTGGTGTTGAAACCATCTGATGACAATTTTCCCGCTAACTTTAGTGGGTTAACTGAATATCTGTGTAGCTCTTGTCACATCAAGCCATGTAACGTCATTTTCCGCTAAATTCAGCGGGGAAACTGAACCTGTGCATAGGTCACGGTAGATTAAGTCATATGACGTCATTTTCCCTGCCATTAATAGCGGGTAAAATAAGCGACCAAAGACATACCTTAAAGCTGCCGGAAAATAATAAAACAACTAATCGTCCTTAAAAAACAATTGGTGCATAGGTGTGCTATGCTGCATGAATTTCCGTAGGATTGCGTGTAAGTGGCATAACAAATGAGAGAGCCGGGGGTTTAACGCTTCGCCGAGTCGCGCTTGAGAGTGCCGTGAACTGCCCGTGCCGCAGAAAACGAGAACTCGGCCGCTCTTTCGCTGTCCAGATTTAGGAGCGAACATTCTTGAATCAAGGCTGCCGGAGCGGCGCCTATCGCTGTTTGACTATGACAGCAGCGCGCCGTGTTGAAGCGAGCAAACGAGCAAGCCAACAGATAAGAAATTGCTGCAGAAACCACTATTTTTAGTTGTCTTTGAATTGCGATAGCATTCATCTAGGACCACCTCAAGGACAACGTCTAAGACGACGTCGAGGACGACGTCCTAGAGAACGTCAATGGGGAAGTCGAGGACGACCTCTGGAACTACCTCTTCGAAGACCTCAATGACGTTGTCGTAACAGCTTCTAGAATGATCTCTAATGCGATCTTAAGGACGGCCTCTAGGACGACCTCAAGGAGAACGTCGAGAATGGCGTCATAAATGATGACGTCAGTGACGACGTCAAGACGACCTCTAGGACGTCGTTGAGGACGACGTCCTAGAGGACCGTCCTCAACGTCGACCGCTTGCCGTCAGCCTCTAGGACAACGGCAAAGGCGACGTCAAGGACGACCTGAAGGACGCCCTCTAGGACGACGTCGAGGATGACGTCAACATCGCCAGGCCTTTGGAGGAAGGTGCGAATGTTAAGAAGTGCGAGAATGTGAGTGAAATGGTCTACTGCGCATACCTACAGCTCATAAGGAAGCCGGGACCCGGAACTAACTCGCCTCTATCAATGGAGTGGCCAACATGTTCCGGCTTCCTGCTACCCTCACCACTTACTTCTGCTACTACTACTAGGAGGCCAGAAAGTCCAAGAAATTCGTGGGGAGGGGGTCTGAGTTGTGACATTGAGCAATGCAAGCGTAACGTTTCGCATTGCTTAATGTCACAACTCAGACAACGTTTTTGGTATAAACAGATGTTTCGGCATCGTCATTTGCTGAGCTGCCTCCGTACGTTGCGGTGATTGGCTCTCCGTGTGTTGTGCGGCAAAGTAGACGCACGGGCTTTTTTTAGAGTGTAGAGAGGAGCGGGGTGCTTCTTCTCTCTCTTGACCAGCTTACCGTGTACTAAAGTGGAAAGAGTTAACTGCGCTGCACACGTGCGGTGTGCCCCAGACGACTATGCCACGACGTCTTATGGACGTCGTGGCATAGCTTAGAGGCGACGTCTTATGGACGATCTCGGCGCTCACCTGAGGTTCGAGCCAAGGGGGGTGGCGACTCCGTATCCCTTGGCATCCAGGTTCCTCCCGACCTTCATGGTGTCGCAGGGATGCCTCTCGTTGATGTAGTCGTTCTTGGTGGACTCCATGAGGAAGGCGTACTTGCCCTTGGACTCGCGTACCCGTCGGATGCCTTCTTCGTACGTCGAGGTGAACACGTGCTTCCGCGTGTTCATGAACTCCCACATCCGGGCGTAGACGGCAATTTTAGATCGCTGAAGAAGGAAATAAAATATATACATGGTATGTATATTCCACATGGAGAGATGAGGCAAGTACATTGAAATATCGAAGCTGGAAACAGCGGGAAAACGTTACTAGTAATTCAATTCAGTGTGAATTAAACGTTGCTTTTTTTGTTTCTTGCTATAACCAACACCTCAAAGGCCCTTTTGGCAAAGCACCACGGAACAATACACACAATGTCAAGAAGACACGTGATAAAATATTTACATCTGCCTAAATTCGTAGACACGCTTAAATTCATGATTATACTCATGCTACTGACTCCTAAACACATGCGTACATGCTAAAAAAGAACGACAGATTTGAGAAAAAGTTATTTCAAAATTGGTTAGCTCCGTGTTTAAAACATTTAATATCCTCGAAATCTATAAAAAAAAGTATGATAAATATATGTATAATGACAACAAAAAAAAATCTAGCATTTCTAGAATTTGTGGGAGCAGGAATTCGGCAGTTTAAAGAAACAACACGAGTGGTGCCTATCAACTGAAACACAAATTAATTCCCATGCAAAAACTTTATATCTCGAACTGATCTTCTCTCAGAAAGATTGCCTAATTTTAATTTTGTAATTAAAATTGTTTAACTTGCACTTTACTCATGTAATGGCATTAGGTATAATGTCACTACAGTCAGTGGCAGTGTAATCAGCAAAGCGAGAAGTTCACACTTCTCGCTTCGTAATTCATCTTTAGGCAATCAGATTGCGGCATTAAACATTAATCACAAAAAAAAATCGCAGAGCAGGAATCACTAACGCAATGAGCCACACCATGCGTCTAGTAAGCTGTCTGTACGTGGTATAGTTATATTTCTTCTATTGTCTCGGGAGACACACATCGCTCGTTGTCATAATGCGGCCCAGGTTTATGTTAAATTTACAATAGAAACTCTACGAGGGGATGGTGGCAGAACATTTCTACTGAAACTAACTGCTTGCGCCATTAGTATGATGCGTGGAACACTTCTCCGATTGGTGTGTTTACCGCGCCCGAATAAGTGGTCCCTTATGACGTCATAGAAGTGTCATGCTGTCGCCGGCAGCGATCCTGGCGGTGTCCCAGCAACAGTGGTTAATGTGGCAAACGCCTGTTCTGCGGCAGGTCTCTCTTCCCTGTGGCAGTCCACGGAAGCTTCGGCAGCCAAATGTTGGGACGCCGTGACGATAGCGACACTCGCGTTCTGTCGTGCTACCCGCAGCTTCTCGTTAGCTTTCCTACGACCAACCGCCAGGATCGCGACACGCAACAGCATGACACTCTGGCTTCTGTGACGTCATTTGTTGCCACTTCGAAACTACTTTTGATGTATGAAGAGCATAGGATGTTGAACACACCAGCCCAAGACGCCCTCCGGACACCATACCATTAGCAGCAAGCAGACGAATTTGACAAAAAGTAAAATGTACGCATAGGGTCTTATTGACAGCTTGAGAAATGTAGAGGGCGTGGTTTATTATGTTCACGCTCTTTGCTTCGTGATCCGCTCGTCGGTGTTTTAAAGCATGAAACGATTTTGAACACTACCCCCTAATAATAAAAGTTTGCCCGTCCGTCCGACCATGCATTTTCCGCTAAATTTAGTTGGAAAATTGATGTCATGTGACATATAAACAAATTCAGTTTCCCCGCTAGCGGGAAAGTTGATGTCACGTGACCTGACGCAAAGGGACCTACAGCCCTATTTTAATTTCCCCAATATATTTAGCGGAACACAAATTCACGTTACATGGCCTATACACCGATTCAGTTTCCTAGCTAGATTTGGTGGGAAACGTGGCGTCACATCACCTATTCACCGATTTAGTTTCCCGGCAAGATTTGGTGGGAAACGTGGTGTCACATCCCCTGCACACCAATTCAGTTACCGCGCTAAATTTTGTGGGGACATTGATGATACGTGACCTGACGTCCCGTCATCAACACCAATTCAGTTTCCCCGCTATATTTGGCAGAGAAATTGATTTCACATAACCTGACGTCACGTGAACTATTCACACATGTAATTTCCCCGCTGAATTTAGCTGGAAGATCAACAACTCAAAGTCATTTAATGCATTTTACGCAGTATAAAACTTTGAAGGTTAAAGGTCGCTGCCAATTTTTATCAGCGAGTACCGCAGTCATGTTGGCTCTGAAGCGAATTGTCGGTTACTATGGGTACCGCGACGGCCAATATTACGGCCCCTTAAAAAGCTCTAGGGTATGAAAGTGTCCCTTTTAATACACGTTACAGTTAGTTCAGAAACGTGTGCAGGACACTGTGGAAGTTGAGAACCCAGTACCATACAAACGTGGAATCAGTGCTGACCCTATTTTTGAGGAATTCCAGGCACCGTTGTTATTTCACTATATCATAGTAATCTGGTCATGAAGTACGTTGACGCGATGTCGTGGGCAGTCACGAGGGGGAGGGGAGGGGGCGGGGCGTTCACTTAAGAGTTTACCGTATAGCTAAAAAAACAAATCTTGTTGTTGTTTTTATCTTGTTGTTTTTATTGCTGGCATTGCATGAGGGTCTTTAGGGGACCCCAAGTAGCACAGCTTTTCGGGCCAATATTTGGCTTTTATTTGAGAATTTAGGGCCTTGAAAAGCCCGAAGACACCAAGGTACAGCCAAACTTGTCTACCTTTGACCCAAGTCTGGGTCTCCTTGCCTTAATTTGCCAAACAAAGGCCAACATTGGGCTTGAGTACTGGTAGTTTGATTGCCATCTGGCATCTTTGGGTTTAAATCCCCAAAGAAGTGCTAGATTTGGGCTTAACTCGAGGTTGTTCGGTTTCTACGTGGCCACATTGGACCAGATATTGGCTTCACTGCTGGTTCTTCGCTTTATGCGTGGCATTTGTTGGCTCAAATCTGGCATTTTTAGAGTTACGTGGCACGCCCGAAAAAAAAGCTTTGGCACCTACAAACCCAAAGCAAACCCTTTTTAGGCCCATGTTAGGCACCTACAACCACCAAGCTTCTGCCAAGTTAGCCGGTTTTCTGACGTGCTACCTGGGACGGTGCTCAAATTTCTTTTTGAGGTGTCAACAGACAAAGTTAATCTTTTACGCTTACGCAGCGGTAGACGTGGCTACGTATCGCGTACAAATAATAATTGCTGAAGGCAGCCAGAAAGAATGCACATATTGACGAGACTTTGTTAAAAAAACAGCGGGGACATCACTTACCCTGAAAAACTCTTGGGTCGAGGAGAAGGAGAGTGTACCGTACTCGACCTCAGTCTGCTTGGCGAGGTCGTCGGCTGAGTTGATCGGCGTGACCATGCGCTCGACAGTCAAAAATGCAGCCAAGTTGGCGGTGTAGCTTGAAATGATTATCAGCGTGAAGAACCACCAGACACTGCCAACGATGCGACCAGCTACCGACCTGAAAGCAGATGCCCAACCTCGATCGACTGCCCGCTTCGCCGGGGACCGTCAAAAAACACAGTTATTAATCAAAAGGCCACCGACGGAAATCTCGCGTTGGAATCGACAACGAATAACGATAGGTTCTTACCATGAACAGGATAAGGACATATTTGAAGACCCAACGAAATAATAAACGTAAAAGCTCGGAGAGACCTTATAGGAAACAAAACAAACACTTTTTATAAGCTTTACTAGGACAGCTAATATTTGACTTAGCTCCGATAAAGTTACATTTCTTAGGTTTCCATTCGTTTTTTTTTTTTTTACAGATATTGAGGACTTAGACTGTGAACTCGAAGTCGGAGCGTCATTTTCGATGCTCTTAAAAGGATATTTTGCCAAGAAGGCTCTTTAATAACTTTTATTTTCATGCACTTGACACAGATTCTCAATGGTATTATGTTTAAATTAAGCCAACAGGCCTGTAAACAAAAACTGTTTTTTTTTTGTAAAAAAATCTAAACACAACATAGTAAACATCGTAGTCCATGCTGGCATAAAAGATGGGCATTTTTATTTTTGTCGGATTTAAGAGTAATGAGTCTTCCTCCGGTCCCTTCTCATCGAAGAAAACAGCAGAAAGTATTCTGTTATATGAATTAGGTATATCAGGCAATTCAGAAGTCAGGACACGTGACAACACAATAGATGTCGTGTTTAGGGTTTGAGCAAAGATTCAATACGATGTTCTTGAGCCTCAATTCCTAGCTTTTCTTTGAACGGTTTGCAGGTGATTATAATCTAGAGTAAAAAAAAATTAAAAAAAAAAAAACGGTTGACGTGCAGTCGAGCTGGTGTAAGTTATACGTGACGATTGAAACCCGAGACTCTGGTTTGAAAAACAAACTCGTGAAGGAGGAATTCATTGATTATATTCTAGAGCGTTTTACAAAATTGTTAATCGTCTTCTAATGCAGAATTTCACCTATATTTTTTATAGGTTGCCACAGCCCAGTTTACGACGGTATATATTGAACCATGTGTAAAGTAAGGGATCAGTTTAAACTTATCTTGTGTCAAGGGATGCAAAACGACATCTCGCTCGTAATACACTTCAATGCATGAATAGTCTCTGTGCTCTCTAACCTAGGCGTCTGCTAGCGATAAGGTTGCAACATCTGCCCATTGTCAGTGTGGGTAAAGTTTCCATTCACGAAAAGTGGACTAAACCGAACAGCTATTGCTGAGATAAAAGCGCGTCTCAATTCGCGCGCCGGATACTGCCATGTTGTATTTGAAAACAATTATGCAAGTCATGAACCATGGCCGAAAATCTTGCACTTCGCTAAGCGTTTAAAAAGGCCAATCTTTTCGTGAAATAAACGGTTTAAAGAAGGTATTTTTTAATAAACCGGGTAAGACAAAGCCTAAAAATTTTAGAAGTTTAGTAAACTAGCTTTGGTAAGGAATTTCGAACCTTTCTCTCCTCCTCATTTGTTTCATCACTTGTGGAGCCTAAATTGTTTGGGTACAGGGGGAGAAAGTTCGAAAAGGTTTGCCTTGTATTTTTTTACATGAGGAATTTCGCCATACAACCCTGGAAGCGTTGCCGCATCACATATGCAAAGTATCATGCACTTTTGTAAAATAGGCAAGCATAAGATCACCTCCACTTTGTGCATGGTGCATTAGTCCCTTACTGATCTTTTTATCAATTCTGAAATCTGGTTCTATTTGATAAAAAGAGCATGCTCCTATTCGTTTGGTCTCCGGCTTGTGAAAGTGCATTCTTTACAGAAACATGTGCAACAAACGTGAACCTGTTTCTACACAAATACCATATATATACTATTCCAGAGTAATTTTTTTTTGTTGCGAGATATTAGATGCTCATGGACCCCTGTTCGTAGGACAAGACAATATCGAACGCATCTGCTTGCGTTCACTCAAGCTTAATAAGATTGTTTTAATTTTATGCGACGAAAAAGAACTCAAGGTAGTAGACAACAGAAAGGGATATGCTTGTGCTTTCATCGTAATGAGGTAGCTTCTCATTAGTTTTGTTGACGATGTACTCAAACTCTTTGCCTCGACCGTACAAAGGTGTTAATATTTAAGGTTCAATCGTTTTTTTGTAAACTTTTTTCTAGACTCGCCCGTTTTCATTGACACTGACGTCTGAGAAGTTGAAAGAGCGTATAAATCAAGTGGATACCCACCTTGCACAAACGAACGACGAAAAAAGACAGCTATCTGAGCAAACAGGTGCATGTAGCTCATTTCTAGAGAACGAACTTGATCTAATGTGAACGTGAGGCATGCCAACGCAGTGCTCCGGGAGAACTCTCAGGCAGATATTAAAAGGTGTGGCGAAGCGAGCTCGCGAGCAGAGGAAACGATCCCCACACTGAGCATAGGAGAGCGAGCACAGCTCCGTACCTGGGGCAGATGTCGCATCCCTGTTGCATGAAGGCTCCAAGGGAGAACCAGAGACTGTTGTAGAGCGAGAAGTCGTTTGACACGGACGGTCCCACGAAGGTCTCCTCGTAGCGCCACTCGTGTGGCGAGAATCGGCTCACGAGGAACAGGACCACCGAGACGCCCACGTAGGCGAAGATGATGCACATCCAGATCTCGCGGGACAGCGGGTTCATGAAGGAGAACACGCCGGGTTTCATCTTCATCGGCTTCTTGATCATGATGCTGATGCCCAGGGACATGAAGGGTTTGGTGAAATCGATCACGCGTTCTCGGGCGGAGGTGATGGTCAACGGAGCGATTGCCATGTCAGCTTCCTGGAACAACAGAGGACAGTTTATTAGACCGATTGCCACAAGCGTTTCTTTAAAGACTAGTATACATCTTAATGCGGCTACTAGACTTGAAACGAAAGAACACCGCGCTCACATCTACGTCCCCAGGCACCACAACAGCTCCAGCGCCGTCGTCTCTGAAGGGTCGTCGCAATAAAAACGGAGGCAGCGCCCCCTTCCCGATCCCCCTACCCCCGATCCCTGCCCCCCCCCCCCCCCCCCCCATTTACCAACCACATCAGCAGCACAGGTGCGTAAAGCCTGAAATTTAACGTGCCTTAAATTTCGCCACAGAAGGGAAATGCACCAATACAAGACGCACCCTTTACAATAATGCCATACATGGCCATATTAAGAATTAGGCAATTAAAGTCAGATATTGCCATATTATATGCGTATATGGCCGCATATGCCCTTTTTTGCCTAAATCTTGGTATGGACATATTCGCCATTTCTGTACGAAACTTTCTAATGTAAAGAGCTGGTAGAACACGCAACGGAAAGTTTCGCTACTCTCGTTTCAATGACGCCAGTAAAACAAAACCCGAGAAAAAAGCATGTCTTAGATAGTTCAGTACATTTTGTAAGCGCTAATGCTAGGCACAGGACAGGTATGACAGCTAAACCTGTACTGGGAGTAATGGCGTTTCGTCATATAAGATATTTTTGAAAGAGGCCGCAACAAGGTATGTAATGAACAACTTTTAATGAGCCAGTATTTGGTTCATATGTAAGTAAACTTCCTTCTAAATGCTCTGCGGTGCTGTAGTCCGCGATGTTTCTAACTTTTCGCAACTGTTTTCTCATTGTACAGTTCAACTGGAAATTGAGTAATAGTTTTGTTTCGTTACTTGCTGACTGCTTCCGGCATGTTTTAATTATACCTTATGGGTGAAAAAACCGGTTGAGACGCAAAGCTACGTACAATACAGTCATCATGTTTTAATACATAATACTATCCACAACTTAATGTTACAATCATGTTCAAAAACGTATATATATGTATATATATATATATATGTGACGAAGACCAAGAGTCGACGACCGTTTTTATGTCCGCACTTTTAAGCATTGAGCGCGCCTCTGCCCGCGCATCCAGTTCAAGCGCACGCGGGCCTCGTCTTCCTCGGCCAACATGCTGAAAGACGATGAAGGGGACATCGTGAAGTATACACGTCACAATTTATATATATATATATATATATATATATATATATTGTACTATCAGTTTTTTCAAGAAATTGGTTTACAGTATAGGTGCAGACTCAGTTGCGAAACCAAGGAGCGCCTATGACCACGAGGACAACTGCTAGATGTTCCAAGCTTTATTTTTATTTACGGTGCCTGTTCTCATATTACGTTTTTTTACAGCGTATGTTTTATGTTATTCTAATTCGTTTCAAACATTGTCAAAAAAGATACCTAGAAGCCTTGAGGCTTGCGTGTTGCCAATTGACTTACATATTCAAAAAAACCTCCTAAATCTACAAAAAAAACGAAGCGTTAATTTTTTTGTGTTTAAACAATTAGCTTTTTATGTGACTTATGAGCGATCGAACATGTTCATTTATTTATTTATAATTTATTTATTTAACATACTGCAACCTCAATTGAGTTCTGCAGAAATGCAACACGCAAGGGGAAAATGCAAGACGTTAACATTTCTTTGTAATGCCGAATTACAGCGCAGCTCTTGGGGAGGAGGAGGGGAGGGAAGGGTATCCCCCTGTGACGTCACGAGGGTGACTTCACTCGTGAGGCTCTTGACGTCCCACGTGGCCCTCGTGACGTCACTCGTGCCCCTCGTGACGTCACTAGTGACCCTCGAGACGTTCGTGACGTCACTCGTGACCCTGGTGACCTGAGTGGTGACCCTCGTGACGTCACTCGTGGTGTCACACGTGGCAATTGTGACCCTTGTGACGTCACTTGTGACCCCCGTGACGCCACACGTGACCTTTGTGTCGTCATTCGTGGCCCTCGTGACGTCACTGGTGACCCTCGTGACGTCATTCATGGCCCTCGTGACGTCACTGGTGGCCATTGTGATGTCACGGGTGATCCTTGTGACACCATTGGTGGTCCTAGTGACGTCACTGGTGACCCTCTTGACGTCACACGTGACGTTGCGTGTGATGTCACGCAGTTACGCCGACGCCGAGGTGACGGCGACACCGCTCAACCTGGAAACTGGCGCCTAAGAGCTGCGCTCTAAAAAGGAAAGACGTTTACAAATCTCTGTAATGCGAAACTAGAGGGCAGCCTTTGAGGAGGACGTGGAAAGGGTATGGAGGGGAGGGTATGTCCCTATTCTTCCTCGTACCCTCCCCTGCTTCTCTCCCCCTCTCCTTCTTCTCCCCTCCTCCTTCTCCTCCCACGCTCCTCTCCTCCTCATCTTTCCCTCCTCCTCTCCTCCTGCCGCTGAATTTGTTCATGGGTGACGTGACACGAAGTTGTGGCGTTATTTACCCGCTAAATTTTGCGGGGGAACAGAGTTTGTGTTGAAGTAAAGGGACGTCAATATCCCCGCTAAATTTAGCGGGGAAACTTAACCCGCTAAATTTAGCGGGAAATTTCCCCGATAACTTTAGCGAGGAAATGTCCCTTAATGCAACGCGCGATTACGCCGACGCCGACGCCGTCGATGTCGGCGTTGGCGTCGCCCGGAAACGGGCGCCAAAGAGTTGCGCTCTAAAACAGATGAGTAGTGTGAGCAATAAACAAGAACATACACAGAATAATGATTACATTATTACATATCACCATACATTAAATGCACTTTAGTGAAACTTCAAATCCCTGTCTGAGGCACCCGAGAATAATTTATTTAGAGTTCTTCCAACCAAGTCCTGCTGCCTTTGTGCCATGTTTGATAAATCCTGCGGGCTACCCTAGCCCCCCACGGAGCCGTGACGCTGTGGCCATTACTACCTAGATGACAAGGCCTGCTCCTGACGTCATCGTTGTGCTAGCGGCGCTCTGGTTGTGAGACGCAGCAAGGCCCACTGCCGGCGATTCTAACGTGAGCCAGGCGGTGCTGTCGGGGTCCACAAATGATGACGCGTGTGGGCGAAAGGCGCCGGTTTTGTCTTATAGGTGGCACTAGTGTGACACTGGGTTGCTTCTTTGTTTACTTACCTGGCGGATGAGTTCTCCCACCATGCCGTTCCAGCCCGCCGGAGAATTGACATCGCGTCCGCCGTATTTTGAGTCGTTGACCAACTTGAGAACGTAGGTGATGCGTATGTGCTCCGCGACAAGATCCGCAAGGTCTTTACAGTACCCTTCAAACTGGTCGTTGCCGACCAAGACCTGCCCCGGTTCGGGCTTCTTGAACATCAGGTAAGGCTCCTCCTGCGGTACGTGCACAAGAGCGCAACAGAGTTAGCATTTTAGGCTCACTTCTAAGGTGGCACTAAAGCAATTATAGGGTCACGTTATACTTAAATGCAACGGTCACCTTAAACGCAAGTGTCACGCAAGGGTCACGTTCAAGAAACGCAAGGTGACCCCAAAGCAATTGGGGTTACGTTTAAGAAACGCTAGGCGCGGTCTATTATGGTTAGCACTCTTCTGCTTCTGGGATTCGTGGTGCCCACCATGGTAAGGATCAATAAAATGACAGACGGGATTAACATTATGGGTAGCATAGTGACTCTAGGAAACAATAAAAAGGAAAAAAAACAGCAACAATCGTTTTTTATTGAATATCGCAGCTTGAAAGCTGTGATCAGTACTCGTAGCTTGATGGAATCTTGATTTGCACATGGTGTACCAATAAAGGGACACAATACAGTACCGAAAGGTCGCCTGTCTTAGTAAGATGAATAGAACACAGAGTTCCTTTTTATTACTGATTATTATATCTTTTAGACTTAATTGTTATCAGATGTCGCTAGAAGCGTCTGCGTAGTTGACGTCCGAAAATCGGTGACTCAGTTTTTTGCTTGCAAACTTAGATATTACTCAGTTTACAAAACAGAGATGTCTCCCAGCGTTAAAAATGGAGGATTAATTTGTAAAGACGGAAATAAGTATTGTGGGAATACTAACAGTTGGTATTAGTGCAAATATTTCCTCCGAGTTGCAGTGGAGCACACCTAAAAGTATTGAAACATCTATTCCTGACTCAATTTGGTCCCGGTCTTGATACAGGTTCTTGACTTTAAATGTATATGCAAGTATTTTTGAGAATATATTGTTCTTGCCTTGTACTGTATTTAGACTTCTTGCAACATTATTAGAAACTAAAAAAATATCACAAAGTTGCCATACCTAAATATAGTCATGGTATTTAGCAACAATAGTCCCTGGAGAAGGGGAACAAGGGGGACAAAGAACAAACACCAATCTCTATACACAGCTAGATGACTGGTGCGCGACTGAAAAAAATCCGCCTGGTCCTGGTATCGAAGCAGAGTCATCGCCTTTTCCAATGGAGTTCTCTGCCAACGAAGCTAACCAGGAGTTAGACGTCAGTAGAGCAAACGGGTTTTAAGAGATGGGTGAACAGACTGCATTTTGAGGTCACGATGATAATACAAATAATGCAAAGGTGCAAGCGAGCTGGACAAGAATAACGACAATAATTCCTGGAGTAGGCATTATTATTATTATTATATTATCGCATGCAGCTTTGCATTAATTGCATTATCATCATACCCTTAGAATGCAGGCCATTCCCCCTTTTGGTACTAGACTGGTGGCAGCTGTTAAAACCCGTCTTCGCTACTGACGTCTAACTCCTGGTTTGCTCACTTGGTAGAGCCGTCCGCTGTAAATGGAGAGGTCCCGGGTTCGACAACCGGACCAGGCGGATTTTTTTGGTCGCGCACCAGTCATCTAGCTGTGAATGGAGGTTTGGGTTTGTCTTTTGTACCCCCTTTCCCCTTTCCTAGGGATAATTATCGTAATTCGTGTTAAGCTCTCTTGCACCTTTGCATTCGTTGCATTATCATGGTATTTAAACCTGAGCTTGAGAGCAAATAAGTTGATAAAAACAGGAGGTATAATTTAATACCTTACATATCCCCTCATCTCGTCTTGAATTTACGACACATAACAGTGAATGTTTCATGTCTCTAGAAATACTCGTGCGTTGTAGATAAACAGGGCATTATACGACGTGAAGTGATAAGTGTACAATTAATAATAAGAAAAGAAGAAGAAAGGCTACACTGCTCTTGATCGTCTTGGGATGTCTTGGAGGTATATGGTCTCAACGAAGGGTCTTTAGCACCCTTTATAAAAACATCTATTGGACTTTATTGACAGTGGTACTCACCAATATGCTGGTTACAATGTACGTCTTGTTTTCAAATTCGTTGTCTTGTTTGACCCGTTTGTACTTTGGGGGATGTGAGCTAAGTCCACGAGTGTCCGTCCAGTCTGCGATCTAAAGGGGTGAAAAGGTTTATCACTTGAAGAAGGTTTATATCGGTCACACGTGCGCGAAGATAACGTTTCAATCTGTTCCTCATTTGTTTTTTCTCACGTGCATGCAGAGGAAAGTAAACTTTACTTTTTTAGGCATGCCTTTACTGTTTGCACAAAAGAGAAAAGTCGGCTCTATTTATTCTACCAGTAACCAACACGGGTTGCAACGGAATGCGAGAAGGAGAGACTCGTAGTTTTCTTATCCTAAAATAGAAGAGCGTCGCCACGCCCCGTGTTTCTTAAACTGTCATTGACTCTACAGAGTGTCTTAAATAGCGGCCTGGCTCTTTAAATCGACCGCTAAAATCGATCTTTTAACCTTTTGCGCTACGATTGTGTGCAGCGTTGCTCACGGGTGGTGCATTTTATTTCCATAAAATCTACGTGAGGAAAAAAGTAAAATAAAAAAAAGGCTTAACCACTATAGAAATGCAGGGAAGCCACCGGCCTTCTAACAAAAGGGCACCCTATTGTTTGAAAACTGGTGGCTTCGCTGCGATTCCATGGCAGCTAGGACTTTTTCTTTTTTCTTTTAGTTTTTCCTCATCTAAGTGCGCGCTTTGCAAATTGTACAGAAAAAAAAAAGCACCATCTGTTTGCAACGCTGCACGAAATCGTAGTGCGATAGGTTAAGAAATAGATTTTTGCAGTAGATCTAAAGAGCCTGGCCGCTATTTGAGCCACCCCGTAGGTCTTGGCGTGCAATGGAAGAGGGTGAAAACCTATTGTGATCAGTGGCGTAGGCAGGAGGGGGGTTTGTGGGGTCGAAATACCCCCCCCCCCCCCCTTGAAATGCGAAAGCTACTCTTCCCACCCCCCCCCCCCCCCCAACCCGCGGGGCCTGCTCACTCCCAGGCTCATGCAGTCGGTTTTGCAAGCGGCACGGATGAAAAGGGGAGCGCGAGCTACTTCCAACTCGTGGCTGCTCCGATATGTTCAGGTGGACTTTTTGGAAGAATCCCGCTCTGGCTAGAAGACGCTCTGGCCTGTTCGTCTCGTTAGTGTAGTTTGCTTATTTCAGCAAAGCATGAATCTTGCCACCATACACAGGAAACTTGCCTTTTTTTTTTTTTTTTCGTAGTCAAATGTCTGCTGCGAAGTTAATTACATCGGCGAGACGGGTACACGAAACAGCACCCTTCTCAAGGAATACAGAAGGCATGTTGCCAATGCAACACACATTACACAGGCAAAGTCCGACCTGGTCGATCATTTCTTTACGACGGGTCATACTTTGGATTTCAACTATGCGTCGACCTTGCCACGGGAGCAGAGTGGGGGCCACGAAACTTCGTAGAACCGTGTTTTATCCGCCACGAGTTGACGGCGTGCAATGTCAACTACGGCGACTTAGCGTACGTTTACGAGATCTTATTGGATGGGTAGACTGGTTGGCCCTCTCCATCGTGGCCAGTGCATACTGTAAAAAAATGCCACCCGCATAGGTTGTGAAATGTCTGTGTTTTTGTAACCTGTTTTGTTACGTTAAGGGCGGAAGAAAGTTTTCTGAAAAAAAAAAAAGTTCTTTATCGCAGGAGATGGGACGATCCCAAAATGAATTCTTTTACTGTATCTTTACATTTTGCCCTAGTTCGAGTTGTTTCTCTGTTAATATTTGGCTGTTTTCCCGTGTGACGGGAGACTGCGGACAATAGAAACCGGTAGTTTTCTTTAGACTCTCCTTGTTTACGCTATCTTATGAATATGACAGGGGATGACAGCTCCGTCGGAAATTTGGTCGTGTACTGAGAGCGATATGCATAGTACAAACAACCGATCCCAGGCGATTTTTTTTTTTGTATACCATATATGTTTTTGAGTAGTGTAAGTGGTGTAAAACATGGTAAATATTTCTGCTTAATTTTTCGCGACAGTATAGCTATCCTTGTGTTTCGTCTGTCCGGCACGCGTTGATAATGCAGTGGTATCTCAAGAAGCAGAGGGAGCTGTGTGCTGGGAGGAAGCCTTTAAAATTAGTGGGCAGCACCTACGACGAGAGTAGAACAAAGGTGAGCCACCCCGCCCGTATTCCCATAAATGAAGCCTGCTCCGTTTTGAAAAATGACAATGCAGCTTTACCCGTTTTATCGTAACACCGCCTTCTTAATCTTTGCGTGGGCTGTCCGTACCGCCGAGCTCATCCTGCTTCATCAAGGGGGGGGGGGGGGGGGGGGGAGGGAGGGAGGGGAGGGAATTAATGCTGCTGAATTCCTTCCTAATAATAAATTCCTGGCTTCGCTACTGATCGCGATAAGCGCGAAGAAGGTTGTTTTTTGGCACCCATATCACTCATCAGCGACGCACTCTGATATCGAATTCGTGCGCTTGCTCGATATGTGTCGGTATTGGGATCTATTCCGTTGGGTCCTGTATTACATCTCACTTTATGAACGCGGCTGATCACTTACCTTAACCATCTCGCTGTTAATCGTCATCTCCACGACGTCAATAGAAAAATTGACTCGGTATCCCTGGCTGTCAAATGATATGTTTCCCGTGAGGCCTTTTATCTGTGTCTGGAAGAGAGAGAAACACGAACCAACTTTTAAGGAGCCAGAATTCAAAAGACAATAATTGTAATAAAAAGGTGAACTAAAAGTGAAAACACAACATTCTCTAGAGCTATGTAGAGCAATTTCAACGAAATTTAAATTATGTACGAAACCTGGACGGCAATTTCGACTCAGAGATTTCCGGTATTCTACTGCCTTCCTCACACTTCTTTTACAATGAGCGATTGATGTAGTTATCCACCATGATATCTGAAGTTCAAGGTGTCCGGTCAACTCGTCGAAAGCCAACTCGGCGACGGTCAATTCACCGAATAGGGGCCAATTCGTAACACTGCAATTCGTCTAAGCGTAACTTGTCGAAGGGCGATTCGTCGAACGAGTTGAATGACGGTTCGAGGTAAAAGTTCGTGGTTTCTTGTTCTCTTTTTACCTAATTCTTCTTGTGTGTGTGTTTGGTGTAGAGACAACGCCCATGTAAGGTTACAAGACTGAAAGAAAAACAAAAATCGCAAGAAGGCCAAGACGGGACAGAACCTCGAGACAATTTTTTTTTTTTTTTTTACTGTTTTTACAGCTTTTTTCCCATTTCACCTTTTCAACATTGTATTTTGTTGGAAAAATAAAGTTACTATTATTATTATTATTATTATTAAGTTCAGAAGTGTGTCATCTCGAAATCGTCCTTTTGTTTACTTCCTTTATTAGTTTCTGTAATGAGCCGATGCAGACCGTCCCGGCGAAGCGGCGTGAACGGGTAGACCGGATTAGAGAAACTGTGTATGCTACACTTGCGGATCAGAGTATCGGAATGGTCCTCACAGGACGGCCGTGTTGAATCCAAGGCTGCACTGCGGTTTGCAACCGGCGATTCTGCAGCTGACCCGGAGGCGCGGATGGCGTGGCTGTGATGCGGCTTGTTGCGCCGCATGGAGCGGAGAAGATACAGTGCGGTGGCGACACTCTGCGCGTTTACCGGTGTCCCGTCATTTGTCTCTTGCTTCTCTCTATGCCCTCGGTAGAAAGTAGTGGCCGACAAAAACGTCGTCCCTTCGCAAGCCGTAGTCGCGTTGTTGTCTGGTCCGAGGTGCCCGGAAGTGCCGGTGGCGTATCACTCCGCGAACGCCGCGGACGCAATGGAAACGCGATCGTCCTCCGTGTCGTCTGCTTTCGAGACGTTGAAACCATGTTTTCAAACATCGCTCGCCTTATATTATAACACAACGCGATTATAATGTACCCAGTGGACAAAATAATGTTCAATCATGAAGGAACCTTGAAAATCATTTGATTTTAGTGCAGGATCTATATTTCGCAAACACAAAGCGGAAACGTGCTCCGCCCGAAAACCCGACAACTGTAAGGTCGATTTCCCGCGTCAAGGTTGGATCCAGCTCGGGGCACGTGACCTCTTTTTCGCCAATACGGAGTTGGCGGCGAAAGTAAAAGGAACGGGATACTGAGCCTATAGAGGTACTCTAGGCCGGGTAGGTTAACACGTACCCCAGCGATACACGTGCGACGTAGTGACCTTTCCCCACCCCACCGTGAAAGCGGCGAGAGCGGCAGCTTGTTATCTTTTGGCAACAAAGAGCATACAGAAATTCATTTAGCGTGCTTCTATATTACGTATTATTTTAGGCCAGTATTTGCTTTAACATTTCAGGACAAAATTTATATATTTTGACTTCGAGAAAGTGGCGGCCAGTTGGCCTCTTCGACGAGTTTTCCTCCGACGAATTGCCCTATGTCGAATTGGACTATTCGTCGACTGGGCCGCCGACGAGCTAGCCATTGACGAGTTGGCTTCCTACGAGTTGGCCTAAACCCGAGGTCGATACATTCATGCATTTTTTTTTTTACACGATTGAGTGAGACTCAAAAGCCGTCCATTTTAAAAGAAATAAGAAATACGACATCTTGTTTAACTGTTCCCCTGCTTCCCTTTTGTAGCTAACAAGAAAAATATTTCATCGCAGAATTTTTTAAATGACGGCAATCCTAAAAAATTCCAACACTTCATAAATTTTGTATTCTCTGAGTAAGCAAGAAAAGCGCGATATATTTTTTAAGCGTTATTCGTCTTTTTTTCCTTTATTTCAAGTTACTTGGTTAAAACGCTATAAAACATGAACGTTTCTAGTAATGAGCGTGTGCCTAGAATTCAAACTAAATAAATGAAGAAAGGTAGAGCAACCTGCGACTGTAACGAGCGAGGGAATATCCCTCTTGGTCGATCGGTGCACCCTTAGGTACGTATTTGTATTTTCTCGGCAGCCCAAAATTCGGCAACTCAAAATACTCCCCAACAAGGTATAAGAAAGATCTCATATTAAGTTTTTAGTATTATTCGCACATTATTTTTGACGCCAAGTATTCGGTCACATGACTTAACTTTTTTGCAAAACGCGCAGTGCCCTCGACCGGCGTCGAAAGGAATCCCGGGAAAAAGATGTATAGAATCGGCCGTACCAGACAACAGAGTCGACGGAAACGAGCGGGTGCGGGCAGGCAACCAGCCGAGCGTCCCTCTCGCTCATTTCTGTTATTTTCAGTGTTACGTGGCGCACATGCTAGAAGAGACAGGAGGAGCATACATAGGACTCCCAGAATTCGTCGCGCGCCTCGCGTACTGCCTTTAGTGAGTTTTTGCGAATGGTACTACATTCCCGCCTGAGCGAGGAAGACTGCGTTCGAAAGAAGAGCGATGCCGACATACTCTGCTACACGTTGCCTTTGGCCGGTTTGCTACCCTCAATCAACTCAACCGTTAAAAAAAGGAACACAGGACCGTAGCGCATTTCCTCTGCATGATTGGTTTTGTCGGCAATAGCGAAAGCACAAAGACTATGGATACCATAACGTTCAACTTCGATGCTGTTAGATTGATGGTCTTAAAGTGAAACGGATCACAGCTGAGTTACCTGTTTCATGTAGTCGGCGATGACCTTGCCGTGCTCCCACGTGACGGCGGGCCAGCTCTGGCAGTCGATGCCTTTTGTGCCTCGGTTGTAGACCTCCCCCCGCCTGAAGTTGTTCCGGAAGATGTCCGACTTGTTCTTGAGAAGCCGAGAGTACGCGTCCAGGATGACTTTTGTGGCGTCGTGCATCAAGGCCACGTCCGCCTGTGGCAGGAGACAAAATTCCCGGGTATGCTTACGAGGTTTCAGTCGATGATATCCTGGCTTCCGCTCACGGTCACGTATATGAGGCGATTACGTCGAGACAGAAACGTTGTCTCGGGGGACGTGTCTAAAAGCAGCGTATGTCTCAACAAGGTCGTGCCAAGGCTTTCAACTGCAGTGTCTATAGGTACACTTCTCGCCATTAGTAAGGATGTGCTTGTAACTGGTACTTTGAAAAGTCTAGGCTTTGTCGCGGATCCTAGAGCAGGGGACAATGTTGGCGGCATGGTATAGCTACAGGGTAAGAAGAAAGAGAGTTTCTAGGCACGACAACTTAACGAAAACAATAGCGCCACCAGAGCGAATTGTTGATCTCAGATGTACGAATGAGGGCGCATAGGCGGCGACTCCGCGAAGTGCTTATTATGATCGGGAAAAACCACCCCCCGACATTTGAATTGCGGAAGTAATCCTTATTTTTACAGCTGTGTTAATATACCTTTTGCCGAATTATCCAAGCATCGAAGCGAATGCCGGTCTCTGCAGCAGTAATTGTTCCTACAGTGCAGGTCTCTGCAATGCTACAGTGCAGGTCTCTGCAGCAGTAATTGTTCCCAACGCTAAAACCTAAAATAATTTCGCACTCGCGTTCCATAATCGCCTTATTTTATTTTACTTTGAATTTTTTTTTATATAGGGAAGCCGCGCGTGCAGGCGCGTATACCCCCTAGTGAAAGAGCCATTTGTACCAGAAATTGTTTCTTGTGTCCAATAAACACATATATATGATACACGATATTTAAGGACATATAAGAACCATATAATATCCACATAAGAGCTATAATATCTAAGAACATATAAGAACCATATTAGAAACTTATAGGAAACTTTTCACAAGTTTCTTATATGGTTCTTATATATATTGCATGATTCATGTGTGTTTAGCAGACACATGAATTTCTCATTTAAATTAGATTTTTTAATAGGGCCTTCGTCCCCAGCATTCTTTTTGACGCTTGGGTAATTTATCGAATTTGTTACGTATTACGCAACACTGATGAAAGTTGCATTCTTAAAATGATTGACTTTTTTGTAAATAAACTCAGCAGTGTGGGAGCGATGAAGTGACCGCATCCAAGAACCAGGTATTTTGAAGGATGACATCCTAACTATGATGTATTTATGGCAAACATAAATCGTCGAACGATCGCCCTTAGGGGTGCCGTTTAGACTAGTATAACCAATACACCAGGTTCATCTACAATCCTAGGGACAATGTTTTTGGTGATCTTTATTATTCGCAAATCACTCCTGTTCGCACGGGCTCGGTTTATCATGTAGGCCGTTAAATGAACTCCGGATTTTCTATTTTGGTAAGAACGCACGTTCTCACACAATACCGACATTTAGACGTATAATAGGAATAATAATTAAAATTAATTTGCTTTCAGTGCGCACGTAGTTCATGCGTCTGGCCCTTAGAAAATCTTGAACTGCTTTGTTGATTTATTATACAAACTAAATAATGTGGTTATTTTTAATTATAAAACAATGTTCCCATTAATTGCTGATATAACTTTAATTGGCATGGTTTTTTTTTTTATTTACTGAAAGCTTCGAATCATTTGAGAGCTATATAACAGAATATATATCTAGAACGATAGATATCTAAAAACTGGAAACTTTTTTTTTTTAATTTTTACTGAAAATTTTAAAGTCAATGGTGTAATTTATTGAGGAAATGGGATTATCAGTGGAAGAATGAAATTCTGGGGCCGGAAAGAAAAATTAAAAATGGAAACGCTGCCGAGGCTCACACGTTTCGGCAATAATCAATGTTTCATCAAGTGTAAGACGGTTTTGAAGGTGACGTGTGACAATGAGTTGAACCGGAGTGATGATATTTGTGAAATAAAAATACCCAAGGCATTTCTATGTCGAAAGATATGTTATTATTATTTATTTATTTTTTCTATTTCAGATACCCTCAATGTAAGTACTTTAAAAAGGGGAGAGAGCTATAAAATATTAACTAGAAAGGGCACATAGTACTAGTTCTCACACACAAGCACATATGTGCTTAAGTGAGGCGGTTTTGGAAAGTGTATTTTGGAAGAAAAACTGAATTAAAACTTTTCTATTCTCTTCTATGTCTAAACAAAGCAATGTCAGTGATGTTAGCAATAGAGGCGGGAAGATGGTTCCAGTCTATAGATGTTTAAGGCATAAACATATATTGAAATAACGATATTTGGAATACCAAACTTGCGGTTATAATGAATGGAAGCAGAGATGTAGAAAGGTGAGGTAATTAGTTAATGACGAAGGCAGTATATTGAATAAATCTTTTATAAAAAAACAAAAACACAAACGACATATTTTCCGGCGGGGAATTAGTAAGGGCCGATTTAGCGTTCTTCGTGGTAGAAATTTTGGCAGTGCGATGATAGTTTGTTAATTCGGAAACGAGCTGAGCGGTTTTGCATGGATTCATTAAGAGTAATTAGTAATGAGTGAGCCGAGCCCCATACAGCAGCAGCATATATTAATTTTTGGACGAATTCGAGTTCTGTACATGGTTAGTTTTAATAAAAACGGATCGAGAAAAAAAAAAAAGGATCCTAACATACGGTTCGCACTGTTAATTACGTATTCGATATGAGTCTTCCGAGAAAAATTAGACGTCATATGAACACCAAGATATTTGTAAGCAGACACAGAAGCGAGAGGAATACTGTCAAGATGATACGTTCAAATATTTTTCATGACTCATTTGTTAAAGAAATTGGCCGATAATTAGATGGGTTATGTGTTTCGCCAGAATCGTCTAAAGGAACCACTTTTCCAACCTCCTAATCGCTTGGGCCTGCGCCATAGAAAAGAGCGCAAATATAAAAGTTTGAAAGAATGATTAAACAATACATGTCAATTTTTTTAAGAACTTTTTGTAGACATCATCTATTCCGGCGCAGAATGAAAGCTGATATTAATAATATTAACCGCCACACCGACCGCGTTAACTGCCACTGGGTCAGTAGGCAAAAAAAAATCAGGAAGGGGCAATACCAGTACTTGCTTAACATTAGAGGTTGTAAACGATATAACAAAAACATAACGTAATACACTTGCACTTTCAGTTATTGGTATATCTATGCCATCAGATGACTAAACAACAATGTTAGGCTTCTAGTTGTGATTAACCATGCTCCAAGATTGTTTAGAATTAGTTACTGATATGATATATAGTTAGGATTCCGTGGTTTCGGAGTTTATTTTCCGTCAAACTCGGAGGGTGTTTTTCGGAGTTTATTTTTTTCTCTCGAAAATTCGGAGTTTATAGGAGTTTATTTTTGTTTTATTTCAAAATCTCCAAAGCTCGAAGCTTAATTTCACAGTATTTTCTATGAAAAAAAAATAATATACGGGTGTAAACATATGCTAGATAAAAAATAAATAAATATAGAATGCACTTCTATCAATTAGTATTTCTTCAGCTGGATTTGGTGTTGGTGCCATTGCCATTGGCAATATTAATTTGTCCCACGGCAAAAGGTTCAGACATCTGTGGCTTCGACAAACGTCGATACCTTAAAATAAACTCTTGGAGGTAGTCGCTGGGAAACCCCCATTCATCCTATTCTACTCAATCCATGCTACCCCGTGGCCGCGCGAGGTGGAGTGGTAAAGGATGTAATAGGGAAGTTGCAACTGCCCCTCTTCCGATTTTATGCAATCTCATTTTGTTCATATCTTTAACTGTTAGAATAACACAACCTCTCCTTCCTCTTAAAACACAAATAGTGTGGCCCAAACAATAGTCCGTTGCAACCCAAGAACGAAGGGCGAGGGTAAGAAGGGCCGGGGAGGAGGAAGCAGACAGAACGCTGGAGAAGAGAGGGGGAAACCTCCTCTCTTTAGCGTTCCGTCTGCTTCCTCCTCCCCCGCCCGTCTTGACCCGAAAGTACAATGACATGTCGTCCTGAACCTTGACGAGATAAGCAGTTAGAGCCCTTTTTGTGATGATCCGAGATTAGTAAGATACTGTAAAATAGTTTGTCGTTGGGCGAGTTGGTGACCGTTTGGATACACGGTTTTGCGCAAAAAAGACAGACACAAGAGAGAGAAACAAAGATGGGAGCTCGTGTTTGTTTCTCTCTCTTGTGTCTGTCTTTTTTGCGCAAAACCATGTATCCAAATTAGAAAGATAACTGTGGCGGAATTTTCCAGGGACCATTGACTCTTTGCGCTGATCAAACTTAATTGTAAATTGTTTATTGGGGGGAGGGGGGGGGGGGCATTGGCAGATCGAATTTTGAAGTTTATCGGATAAATCCGAATTGACCAAAAATTTTACAGGCGCGTGTTTTCCGAATTTTTTCGGATTTATCCAGAAACACGGTACCCTATATATCGTGTATGATTTCAGAAATGTATCTTAGCCTCCGTAAGAGCTGCTGTATGTTCATGATCTGCAACTTGGTACGCTGCCCATCGTGCATGAGTGGGTGATCGCTTGGAAGCAAGAAACAGTCTTTTTCCTTTTTTTTCTATTTTGCAGACGTCTGAATTTATCGTTAAGCTAAGGGGTGTTTGTGTTGCATCAGATCTTCCTTGATGGTATGTATTCTTAAATTAATAATGCAACAACATTTTAAAACAACAGCCATTAGATTCAACGGAGCGTTTTGAAAACTGAGGTAAGTAATTATCAAGAAACTTACACAGGTACAAGTTAATTGACGTAAAGTCAGGTCCGCTGTAGTCACGTGTGTATCTCGAAACAACCCATTCTTATTCGAACCCTTCTCGTTTGAACCCATTCGCAAAACGCCCTTCTCGTTTTAACCTTTCGCATTTCGACCCTTTCTTATTTGTACCCGTCTCATTTGAACCCATTCTCATTTGAACCCATTCGCAAAACGCCCTTCGCGTTTTAACCTTTCGCGTTTCGACCCTTTCTCATTTGAACCCGTTGTCATTTGAACACCGTAGTGAGGTATAGAAAGAAGGAAAAACATTTGAGGATGAAGGTTGAAGATGAAGCGAAGCGGCACCTTCTCTTGCATAGCACATGAAACAATTTTCCTTATGCCTGCGTGCCACCCCGAGTCTGTTGACGTAGTCACATAGTGACGTGGATTCAAAAGTGCTAGCGCAGATTCGCTACTTCATTTCTCTTCTGTCGCTGTATGTCGTTAAGATGTCGTGTGGAGCGGATGGATCATTGTACTAGTCGTGTGTTATTGCTTGTAATGGCCAATTCGGGTAGTCATTTTCCCTGAAAAAAAGTTTTCCCATATCTTCGGCAAGGGCGTTCGCGTGGTCAAAGGCTGGCGGGTGCTAGCTTTTCGGGCAGCAGAAGTTTCCCCGAGCTCCAAGAGGTCGGGTAGCTTGTCTGCCAGACTGTATCCGGTATCGTCACATCCGAATCGGGATAGGGAACCAAACGAAACAATGCTCGCTGAGGCGGCAAATAGCGGGTTCGAGTGGCAAACGAAGCCATCGAGACAGGCGCCCTTTTGTGCTCTGAGACAAGATAGCAAAAACAACGTAGAGAAAGATAATTTATGTTTCAAAGAAAGTCAACCTTTTTGGAAGAATTTATCCAGCCTGAGCAAGGTATATTTGCTCTGAGACACCGGCTGCATCATACATCACTTTATTTTACAGCTCTGTAATAACAAGTTATTACACCACTGAAAAAAAAAGTATGCATAGTGATGCAGTTTGAAACTTGAACACGCATTAAAATTTCAAGGAGGGTGTGCAATGAGAAGACTGAGGATTCCAAAAAAGGTACTAGAGAGTTTTAGTAGATCGTTCCGATACCCCCCATAGCCCCGGTAACGATACTATGCATGCGCAAGGGAGGCGGTGGCGGAGTATCGGCTATCGTTATCGGAGTCATGGGAACGATCTACTAAAACTCTCCACTAACAGTAAACAGAATATGGAAAGCGACGCTGGCAAGCCTCCGTGGCAACAGTTAATTGAAAATCCAAACGAAGTTTATTGAAATTCGACGCGCGTGCGGGCAGCACCACACCGATTTATGCATCTGCCCTTTCATTGATTTTATATTTTAATATTCTGTCAGCTGTGCGGACTGTCGTAATGCCAATATTTGGAAAAATTTGTGAAGCCGCTTCTGTTTACACACATCTCAAAGAGTCGTAATTTATGTTGTTGGCGTATGCAGCGTGCTCATGGTACCATAGAATGATTGAAGAAGAAGTTAACAGAGCTCACTCGCGACCCAGTCAAGTAAAAACGCCAGTTCATTGTGCTTTGCATTCGGGTGGAGAGCGTCACTTGATGCGCCGCTGGCGCGTTTTTGATCTCCGGTGCCACAGGCAAGGGCTCGAAGGCAATTAATTACCCGAATTCGCCATAAATACCACAGAAATTTGCGAGATCATGATGTTGGATTAATTTGGGTTCGAAATGAGAGAGGTTAAAATGAGAAAGGTTTTTCTGACAGTGGTCAAAACCAGAAAGTATGTTTTGAGAGAATTTAAAATGAGAAAGGTTAAAATGAGAAAAGTCGTCTTGAGAATTGTCAAAACCCGAAAGTTTGTTTTGAGAACGGTTTAAATGAGAAAGGGAGAAACGCGAAAGTTGTTTTGCGCTGGGTTGAAATGAGAAGGTAAAAACAGGAAGGTAGAAATGCGAACGGGTTCAAATGAGAACCACCCGTAGTCACGAATATATTTTATGGGAATTTAAGGCTCTTCAAACGAGATTTAAAAGCAAAAATTTAAAACCTGAATGGTCACTAAGACATGGCACGTATGTTAGTGATAATATTGTCGCGAAGTTTTGCTCGCGCGAGTTTTTAGTTTACAGTTTTACTTTGTTTTTGGCCTTCCTCGGGGGCTCACTCGTCTTTACGGCACGGCTCATGGCCTCTGCCGGGGTCGGGGGACCCCAAATGGGGGAGAACGGGAACGCTGTAACACTACACTTATAGTTTACAGAACCCCACGTTGGAAATGTTTTGTCCTGTGTATGTTTGCTTTTGGGATCTCTACTTCGGAGGTGGTTTTGCGATGTGTTTGTGTAACGTCTCTGTCTACGAACGAATGTACTTTCTGTTGTTTATGGCTGCTCTTGTGAGCTTCGTTTGGAATCTGTTCTGTCTCGTATATGCGCGTGTTTTGGAATGTTCGTATTTGCTTTAGGGTCCGAGCCTTTGATTGGCTCTAAGAAAACCCCTCTTGATTGGTCCTTCCCAAACTTTCTGATTGGTGGACTGGAGGACCCCAAAATGCTGCTGAACTGAATATGAGCGGCCACCGAAGGGCCGTAAGGCACTTGGCTCCTGGATACCAAGCCTTGGACATCTCCCTGCCTCTGGAAAACCAACCTGCACGTCCGACCCCCCTTCGGCTGTGGAGCCGTCCGCCCGCTAGCTCGCAAACTTGGTCCCCCTTACGGCTGTGGAGGAGTTCGGCTCGCCCGCCTTTGTGTGGAACTGTGTTTGCCGAGTTTGGCTGTGGTCGGGGCCCCCGCTGAAGGTGTGTGTGGTCAGGGAGGACGGCAGGGAAAATTTCCTTAGGTTGGAATTATTTCCCCCCCCCCCCCCAAAGTTTAATCTCAAATTATATAATGTTCAAAGTGATGTAAAAGAGTCTTTGTCTAGATCTCTTAAATAACAGTGTTGTTTGTTAACATCAACATCTTTCATCAACGAAGAAGGGGACGAGTTATTTTCTTCGTTACAAAAGTGGTGGAGGTGCGGGGTACGACCTAATTTTCTTCGTTACAATATGAGGCACGGATGTGTTGTTAGGACGAAACTGAGTGTATTTGATGAAATGGTTGCAACCCTAGCGGGCTCTGAGACTAGTTGAGAAAAGCTGAAATCAGAACAGAGTCCAATAAACTCGTTAGCTTTAGATCAGAAAGGGCTTAAAACAGGACATTCATTAGGCCACGTAATGTTGGGGGAAACTGAAATCACCCATTAACATAATTGACACGTCTGAATTTTGAATACCGCATGGTAACTTGGTTAATGGCGTTATATAACAAATTCACAAATGAACTGTTAGGGGGGGGGGGGGGGGGGTCGAGGGCATAGAGCCATTATCGTTTCTTTATGTTGAAAAGAAACGGAAAACGAAACAGACTCAAGTTTACCGGCTACAATGAAAGGGCAAGGAACTATTCAATCGACAACCGCCAATAGAACACCACCGAAAGCTCCTGTCAGGTCTATCGCAGCCGATTGCGTTGAATTGTTTTTCTGCAACAAACAACATGCTATAAGTCATTCCCTAGGAAGCGACGTCTTAGTGAGAGGGATGATGTCAGCATCGCATGAATCAGCAACCGAGCACAATTAATCTCGTTTAAGAATTAGACTGTGAATAGTAGTAAACAAATCGAGAACATTTGAAACAGGTGAAACCGCTTTCTTGCACCTTGCTGATTGTTAGGTTGACATACAAGAAGTAGACTCCGTTTAAAAATCGGTTAGATCTGTCCCAGAAGAAACTTGGCGACAATGCGTGGCTACATTGTAAATGCAGTCTTTGATTTCATTTTACATATAACACTTGCTATTAACAAAAAGTGTTTTTATAGCTTAGCTTAAACGCGTTTTTCTGTTTCCTCCCGTATTCCAGTAGTTTGCGTCGAGCTAAACGCGTCGAATAGCTAAAATCTTCTCAAACATAGACAGGGCTGGTGTTTAATTTGAACTTAGCCTAGCGAACACATATTATAGTTGTGAAAGTCTGAAACTTCATTAAAATTCGGGAAGAACTAAAATGCTTTAAGTGATAAATTCACAAAACTTTAACAATTCTCTAAATTACCGCCTTTTTGTAAAAAAAGATAGGTCTCCCCTAATCTTGACACTCGTTTATTTATCACATAATTATTTTCGTCGCTGTTAGAATTGCGTTAATTTAATTTTCGCGTGCTTTTTTTTTCTACGGTACCTATTTTCTTAACGCGACATTCCGTTAGTTTTACGTATTTTGATTTCTTCAATATCAGCGTCTGCCATCGTAACATTTTATTAACATGGGCACAAACAAGCCATATTGACTATGGGCTTACATGGTGTCTCAGTGACTTGTAGCATGTATTTACACTAATAAAAGCCTTCCATTGATATGTTGGAAAAAGGAGACGGCTGTTGTTGTTCTCCTAGTTTTAAAAGTGACGTCTACTTCTGTACCGAAACGTATGCCGTTCCCGCGCCGGGCCATTTGCTGTGGTCCAGCTTTTCCCACGACTTGTGAAAGATCTTGAACTCGTCTCGATTTGATTGCAGCATCCGGAATCCGGTGACGTTGATGACGCCGAGTTCGAGGATTTGGTTGTTGAAGTACTCGTCCATGACCTGCGGTAATCAGAAAGAACAAAATTGACAGCCTACCGTACTTTCCGTTGGTGCGTATAGACCAAAACACTGTTTACGAACGCGTTTGCGCTTGCCCACACCGGGCATGCACTGCGGATGAGCCGAGCCCAGATTCGCGCAAAGGGAATGGTCTACGCATGCGCCGTGCCGACAGCAGCGCCCCCTCTGCGGAGGGAGGTCAGTGCCGCACGAGCGATGAAAACAGGCGCCGAGCGTCAGTATCATAGCAACCGGTGCTGGCGTCCCTACGTCACTGTGACGTACGCGTCTAGCGGCGCGACTCGGCTCTGCTCGGATCTGGGGCCCTAAACTCGTTAAACACAAAGTTGGAGCCGAGAGTTCGCGAAGCGCGCCGATTGGACGCCGGCGACAAAAGTGCGAAGTCATCGTCGTTATAGTCCCATCGGTGCGCTCCGTGAACTTCGGCCCCAACTTTGTGTTTGACGAGTTTAGAGCCCCTGGTCGGTTCAGATATTTGCGCATGGTGCGCCTAGGGTGCCTACATGTTTCCGCTCCGCTTTACGGTGGCGCCAACTTCTTGTTACCCTTTCCCAGATCCTCTCCCACCGCCATTTTGACCCACTTTTTATTTGGCTAAACGTACACAACGTTGAGTTTTCGTAGTTTCGACACACCGGCAACACTGTGAGGCCACTTCCGCTTCCGTTCATAAGAGGAGTCGGACGAGTCGGAGGCTCAGCGGGATGGCGGTCGTCGTGGCTGTCGCTCTCTTTATTCGGGTGTTTGATACTTAGAGGTTGCGAGCAGGAAGTATGCGTTGCGTTTATCGAAACGTGAGTCCCCTCGACAAAATGGAACGCAACAGACCGGCATCGCACGCCGAAACCTCGCCGTCGGAACGAGAGCGGTGGGCGCTCCCTAGCCCTAACGAGGATTAGCGGAGTAGCGCGAGCGCACGACTGGCGAGTGTGACAAAATGGTCGACGAAACAGCGGAGGCTGCCATGGTAACGAGGCAGGCAACACTGGTTTGTCGGCAACAGGTATCACAAACGTTGTCGCCACCCTAAACAGCGGAGCGGCGGAAACATCTAGGCACCCTAGGTGCGCCCGGTGCGCATAGCGGCGAGCTACGGAAAAGCAAATATGTCGACCGTTCCTTTGGTCTGTTCGGTTTGAGTTCGGTGCTGTGTGCGGCTCGAACGTTCTCGTGAGAATGTTCTAGTCGTCTGCGAAGTTATTCAAAGCCCCATGGCTCATGAGTGACACGGAATGCGTGAAATCACCATCTCAACTGGCAACAGCAACGGTTGCTCAGCTAGCTACACGAACGACGACGGTGTCTAGAACTGGCGGTATGACGCCGAGCGAGATTGGTTTGGTGGTTTGAGTTCAAGGTGGGGAATCTGTTTGCCGGAATGTTATGGCCACAGCCGATGAAGGAGTTAACTCGAGGGGTGTAGAAAGGATGTCGAGACGGTGCACTTTGTACAGGAGAGACCTTCGGCGCCGTCAGGTTCGTCGAGCAAGCCATTCGATGCCGCCGGGAAGCGAAGAAACGTGTTCTGTGTTTCGGAATTTCTCTGCTGGGTTAGTATTTTTGACTGCATTGTTATGCATTTACTCTCATACATATTGTCTTTATGATGCTCGGAGATAACGCTTTGTCACTGCTCATTTCAATGTCAAGCTCATAAACTTGAGTAAATATTGTATTCCGTGTGGTCTCCTTGGCATAAAATCAATGAAACATCTCCGTGTATACGAACGGAAACGCCCAAGTGCGTCATGAAACACTAGTCGCGTCTCGTACAAGAGATTTGCGCTAGCCTTTTCTGTTCAATCTAGCCCTGTACGTCTAGAACTTCGTAGCGGCGTTCAGGGGTCCGTTATGCGGTATGTTTTCTTCAGGACTGGCTCGCCGTGCGCCTCCAGTTGTCTCGAGAGAAGTTGGACATATTGCATTTGAATATTTCAATGAATGTTTATACAGTCTAGACAATTATTTATTAAAACAATTTCAATATTTTCTGTTTATTTCAGCTTGATCGGGTAGAAAAAAAAAAGCGATTACGGCGTTGGTAGTGTTGTGAACATAACTTTTGCGGTAATGTTTGCTTGAACATTATTAATGTAATAGTAATACAATTACAATTGGTCGGCTGGTCTGCCTGGCGTCGCCGCTCGCTAGCGTCGCACTCGGTTTGAGACGTTCCGGAACGCGCTGTCTTCGATGCTGACGCAAGCTAGTCGTCGCTAAGTGGATCTACTAACACAGCCTTTTATATGCTGACTAAGCCTGGCAGATCGCCTCGAGAAGCGGCCGCCGAAATGGAAAATGTGGAGCGGCAGACAAGGAATGAGAGCAGAGCCACGTGACTGGCGCCCCGCTGCCGCGAGACGCCGAAACACACTTCTTGCGAGCGAACAAGTGTGTTTCGGGTCCTCGCCGCTGCAAACGCCGTGCGCTGACGTCCAGGTTTCCCGAGAAATGGCTCTTTGATGGTCTGTGCTACCGGACCCTTGCACTCCAAATCTGCGATCGGGCACTTAATGGCTCCGTCGTCGAACTGCCAGGCTTTGTGAGCATACAAGAGGCTATGTTACTAGTAACGGCGTGAAGGGGAAAAGGCGGACGCCTCGTCTTATAAACGGTATTCCTTAAATCGGCGTTTTCTTTTTTTGGAGGGGTGGGGGGGGGGGAGCGAAAATGCCGAAATCTGCGGTACCACTCACGAGGCTTGTGAGAAGGAAGTGGAAGTTGCGTCGTCCGGTGTACAGGTCCCGGACGTGGTTGATGATGATTTCCTTGGCCACCTCGGCGCTGCTGTCGAGCACCACGTACTTGCGGGACTCCCTGTCGTCCAGCTCCATCTCGTGCAGGAATGCGTTGGCGTCCGACACGTTCATGAAGCGCCGCACGACCCGCACGTCCAGCTTCTTGTTCGACGTCATGTGGAAGATTTGTTGCAACTTCAGCAACCCTGCAAGCACCATGGGAAGAGGTGCATTGTTACACAGTCGAATTTCGTTAGTCCAAACTCTCTTAATTCGAACTCGTGAATAATTCAAACGAACCGGCAGGTCTCGTCCTATGTGTTTCTAGGAATGATACTCCCGGTAATCCAAACTTTGCATTATTCAACCAAAGATTTTGTCCCCCTTGGGTTCAAATTACCGAGATTCCCACTGTGAACATATATATCTATCTATATATATATATATATATATATATATATATATATATATATATATATATATAATGTAAAAGACGTGTACTTCAAAACGTTCTATACCTTTAAAGAGTATGGCGACCATTAATATTTGAGGCCGTACCAATTCAATATATTTACGAAAATGTAAGAGTTATTGAGATATTACTGAATAAATTCTCTTATTTTTTTAGCCCCCTTTAAAAATTGCGCGCAAAAAGAGCACCGCAGGCCCTGCCCACAATGGCGTTTAGAAGAGTGATGTAGTCGTTTAAGTCGCCCTTAAAATCAAACACCCTGTTAAGACTAAGAAATATTACACATGTCGAGTTGGTGTTATACTCCGTTTTGTACGCTAGGTTCGAGTATGGCGTGATCCGATGGTATCAATTATACAGCAGCGAAAGTACATCTCACTCTTTAATGACGCAACAACCCAATAAGACTAGACGGACAAAAACAAATCTCCGTCCAAAGAATGTTGCAAAGCAACTTCAAATTAAGCTGCCAGAACAAATCACAGCAACGGGGCTTTCAACCTCACCCAGGACTAATCTTCAATGTCACGGCGACGAAAAACGGTAGCGGCGCTCCAGAAACCCGAAACTACATGTCTTCGGGGATGTAGAAATGGAAAGAATCTGGTGGCTAAAAAACAAAAAGAAAGAGAGGAAAACGAAGACGCACGGAAATAATTATGTTTTTGGGGCGCCAAAAGTCGGCGTCTCCGATTCAGCGCTGGAGAGCGCAGATATCAGAGAGGAAGCGACGCGAAGAAATCGAGATCGTCCGCTATTTAATGGCGGACGACGTCTCCTGCATGGAAGGAATGCCCAGGCACGTGCGCGAGTTGTCGCGCGGCGAGGAGAAAAGCGGCTGATGGGGCCGCGCCACACGCTTTCGCCACCACCTCTCATCTTGCGTTGCAAACCTGGTCCATAAACCACGTGACCCCGTCAAGCGGCTGTGGCAAGGCCACCCAGAAGACAAGGCCCGCTCATGACGTCATCGTTTGTGTGCATCCCCATTTCGACCCGATGCGGCGAACACCGCCGAAGCTCGACGGCAGTAAGCGCGAAGCGGTCGATACGCTTCCGTCCCCGCGTCCTATCGTCGCGCTCTTTGTGAAACTGTACGTTGAGCTGGCGGCGACGCTGATGCATGCTATGCGGAGCGCAAGTTCGCCTGCTTCTTGAACAGGGGTTGTGCTGATTTCAGAACGCCGTGTTCTTATTGGCTGATTGAATAAAAACGTAAGTCATTCCACTCTGTGAAGGTGATAGACCAGCCAAGCTGTTTAGCACACGACACAAACCCGCCCCGAGGAGCCGGAGGAAACTAGACACACGCGACGGGACCGCCACCTCGGGAGAGCGGAAGTAAACTAGGCACGCGAGCGCTTGAAACGACGACAAAGAGAGGGCGGTGCGAGCGTAGACTTGGCCGACGCGGGTCGCACAGCGGCAAATCTTTGAGAAACCTTTATCGTCGACCTGAGAGTCTACTGATGTTAAAAATGGTACCTACGGATACCTAATCTACTGAAGATACCTATTGCTATGTTACCCAAGCATAAAGGGGAATGCAGGGAATGGTGTTCCACGCGCCGCACGTGCCGGCGTCTGCAGCGGTAACTGTTCTACAGCAAAAGCCTAAAACAAATGGCATCTTGCACGCGTGTTCGTCAACGCTTAACTTCGGTTGTTTACTTCGAATACTTTATACGGCGAAGGCGTGCGTGTGTGGCGTGTGAGGCGTTGCGAGCTTTGAATTTTTGGTCACGCACACGAAAAATCCAGAGAACCCTAGCCATAAACAGCTTCGCTGTAAAATATACGGAGCGAAATTTTGTCTGCTTCGTGGACAGGGGTTGGGATGATAACAGAATGCGGAGCTCTTATTGTCTGATTGCAAAAATAGTGGGTAGACCTCGAGGCGTCTAGCACTGAAGTCCACCCACTATCTTTTCAATCAAGCCAATCAGAGCTCGGAATCTTAGTGACGTCACCACAACCCATGCAAAAGAAGCAGACGAACGCGTGCTTCGCATAGGCGGTATTACTGTGCCTGAAACACGCGTCTTCACTTGGCGTCTGTAGCGTCCTGTCCCGCCCGTACAACAAAAGTAGTCCCCAGGTGGCAACAAATGACGGCGCAGAAACGGGAGTATTCTGCAGAAAGTGCGAGCGAACGCGAGCGTCACTGTTGTCGCTGCGTCTCAACGCCCGACTGCAGGAGCTCCCGTGGGCCGTCGAACTGGAGAGTGACCTGCGACAGAAACGGGCGTCTGCCACAGTCACAACCGCTGTTGTGACACCGCCAGCATCGCGGCCGTCAAAGAGCGTGACACTTCTTTGGCGGCGTCAAGCGAAAATCGAGGGACTGCTCATTTAGAACGCGATGAACACATGGGTCGGAGACGGGCTCCGGGTGGCACCATAGCTTTCCACTGCATGAACCCGCTATCTGATGACGTGTGGCGGGGAAAAGTGCGGGCCCTTCTAAAGTGGTGTCGGCTGGACGCACTCTAAAAATCCGGGCACACCATTCCGCCCTACACGAGCGCGCGAGGCGCGCTAAGACGCTCTCTGCGCTCAATTTTGTTGCTGCAGTGTGTCGGCGAGCCTCTTATCGGAGCTGGCGCGTTGCTCGGGGTCCTTAAGCGGGTTAAGGGATTTGGACGCCGGCTTCTTCCAGCCCCCAGATGTAAGTGGAGGCAGCCAGTGCAAACTCTCCTCGGGGCTGAGAAACCCGAGAGGAACGGCCGGAGGCAGGGTCGGGCGGATTTGAAGTTTTTAAGGGCGTTTTGACGCCGCTGTAGGTCTTTTGCGCGTGTTGCCTGCCAGTGTGCGTCTGTGTGTGTGTGTCTGTTTGTGTGTATTCGCAGTGCCTGTCGCGACTAGTCTCGGTCTTGGTTGACACTTCGCTGCCGATGTTTTTGTGTCTTCATTGGGGTGTTTTGCGGTAGTAACACGCGGCTTCGAGAGGATTAATGCGTTCGGCTTTGTAAACATCGACGCGTCTGTTGATTTGTGTCCTTTCGAGGGTGCAGCGTGGTTCGAATTTCGGGACGACATGCATGCGACGAAGCCGAAACATCCGCGTCTGCCTTTTTTCCCCGAGTATATTAACGGTCATTACAGGGTATCAGGCTGAGTAATTTTAGAGATGCCCGAACAGTAAATAAATTTACGAAAAAAAAAAGGATTTGTTTTCTCAAAGATATGCCTAGTTTGTAGTGAGCTCGATGTTGACCCGTTTTAATGGGAAGTGACAACGCGGGTAATTTTTTTATCGACTAATATTTAATGAAAGGCGGTGTTTTTGAGACATTATGTTGCCCATAATGTTTCTGTATATAGGTATTTATATGAATATGTATAGTTGCACGAGGCTTTCACAGCACTTGTGATTTGGTTTGCCGACTACGTCGACGTCATGAGGCCACAGTTAAAAAGCTCGTGCCTCCATACATCACAAAAAAAAAATAACAGTGTTGGCTGCAGACACGATGAAAAAATTATCTGTGGACACACCTCAATCATGTGGAAAGCATGTTTTGCTTTTTGCATGTGCAGAACTTGAACACGTCTGCAGATATTGTTTTTTTTTGTATCAACCATTGTGACATGACAAGGAAGGAACGCGCACCGCAGAGTATCCGCAGGCCGTCTTTTGTAGGATATTTGTAAGCAATTTGACCATGGCTTGAAGACCGACGACCACTTCGCGCTTTCCACTTTTCCCTCGCTTCCTCCTCTCCCCCATATACCCTGTCCACCGTTGCCTGTTTCCTCCTCCCCCATGGTGAGGAGGATCTTCTGCCTTGCAGAATCTCGTGTCTGGTCATCAGCCCTTCAGAGTGTGCTGTGACCGTTTGGCAGGCACAATGCCTTTTTCGCATAATCAATATTTACGTTCCGAAGCATTACACTGAAAGAAATAAAGCATTAAAAAAGAACGAGTTTAATATTGTGCAGAACGCAGACATTCCGTCACGGCGAACAGTACAATAATCTCAGCAAAAGAAAAAAAAAAGAACATTACGTGATTACGTCAGAAAATTACCCGATGCCCAAAGTGACAATAAGTAGGGATTTGTTTTTTCAGTGTATAGGGCATTCTCCGAATTCGGGTTGCGTTTTCTTTTCAAAAAAATACTTTTGTTTTTCTCACTCAGGTTCGGTGCTTTTCAGTGTCAATATTTGGTAATAAACAAGAAAAAAAAAAGTCAGGGTTCATCGGGGTTAATTTTAAATGCACTAGGACACTGGGCAAGGGTCGTTTACATGATCCGAATACTTGGAGAACATCCTGCCAATAAGAAAAAAAAAAAAAAGAAAGAAAATAAGGTGTTTGGTTTCGACGCAAGGAATTTGGCTTTTTTTTTTTTTGGTAAATACCGATAAACCCCGAATATTAACCCCGACAAATTTTTTTTTAATAAAAACCGAGTAAAAACAATAGGAAGCTGCAGACAAGTTTTTCAGCCTTGAAGCTTGAGTTTTTTGTTATTCGTGGAAAAACTCCAACTCAGGATTTTTCCTATTTTCCCCGTATTTGATTAAAATAAAATTGGAGTTAATCTTTGGGGTTTTGTTGGTATTATCTACCGAAATCACGAGACACTAATTCAAAGGGCAAGTGAAACGTCGTGCTCACTGTCCCGGCGCTAGTCACATGTTTCCGATGAAGCGCAGGTTTGTCTGCTTCTTCCACAAGCGTTGCTGTGACGTAAGAGCGACGAGCTTTGATTGGCTTTGATGGAACCT